ACTTGCTGTAGTCTCTGCTTGTACTGTGATATATATATATATACCTGCATGCTGGCTCTTGCTAGGTAGCCATCACTGTACTGTTATTGCTGCATATATATCTCTGCATGTGAACTGGCCTTGTGGCCATTTGCTTGTGCTCAGAATGTGTGGTGACGTTGTGATCCACCCTGAGCTTGTTTTGCTTCTCTTGACTGGTCTTGTGACCCGTTGCTCTCCCCCACTTTGCCTATGGGGGTGTGTCAAATGATATATATGTGTGATATATATTGGTAGGCTGTAGTGGGGTAGATGTTATAGGGGATAACACTTTGGGGTTGTGTCTCTTGTAGCAATCTCTCTCGTCAATGCAACTCAACCTTGCCTAGCTATCTCGACAGGTGGCACTGAGTAGGTATGTAGTTCATGTGAGACTTTTGTAGAGTTAATGGACTTTGTGTGTATTACTTTATTTCGGATCTTATTAGAACCGTACCTCACAAAACTTTAACCAAAACAGGGTTGGCCCAAAACTACCCTGCTCAAATCAGCCTAGTGCCTGAGTTAAACCACTGAAATCAGGCTACGGAAAAATCTACCCTAGGGGTCTTTTAAAGGGGGGGGTGGTACCCTGATTTGTAAGAGTAGGCCTAAACCAATTTTGGGCCCTGGTTCCATGCTGTACTAAATGGGTTGACCTCCCCTTGGATATTAATATGCTAGTATGTCAAATGCAGCGGAGTATAGTAATATACAACACCACCACATCATGCATAAATCCAGAGTGTTCTGCATGATGCCTTTCATCCCACCAACATCATTTCCCATCGTGAATGAGGGAGGAAGGAGTGTGGAGGAAGGAATGTTTGCACATCTAGAGGTAGCGTATGGACTTGAATGCACAGCGATTCACATTCACACTGGGCTGTTGAAGTGAAATGTTGCTAGATAATATGTTTGCATAACAGAAAGACATCAAGGCATTGCAAATGAAAGGGGTAGGTAGGGTACGTACCTCTATGTGGTTGGGTCCCACAAAATTGACCTGACTATTATGACACTCAACCTTACATCTACGGCTTTCGAAATAAAATAGCTAATACGCATAAGCCCAAGATGTCCAGCCAACAATATGCATGTGAAGCTAGTTACGCGAAGGTTGGAGAACGGGTGGCCGTGCTTCAAATGAACATTGCTGTGTGCAGTGTTGAGAATGAAGAGAAGGAAACATATTTTCCTTGAGCAACTTGATAAGTTATACTGGCTGCGATATTGATGTTTTAGAAATAGATGTAGCCATAAACGGACTGCATACTGTAACTGCCTCGCTGAATCGCTGCGGCCTCGACGAAACAAGCGAAACTCGCGAGTCAATCCAAGTCCGTCCATTTTTTCCCACGAGCCCACTTGTTCTGTTATACTGTACGTGTACAGTAGCCCCTGAATGTGCGCCGCAGCACGTGCATCCTGCCAGCCAGCCAAGCGGTTACACGCGCGGAACCACTTTGGTGTCGCGCGGAACAAACCTGTGGGGCGCAGGGCAGGCGCAGGTTTCAGTGGAACAGGGGGGTGCCTTAGCGGAAACAAGCGCATGGGGAAAGGCACACAAGTTCCGCGCCTCGCCTCGTCATCTCGCACCGTCAGCCCTTTTCCGTCTCATCTTGTCTCGTCTCGTTCCGTTCCGAGTCTTCTCTTCTCCCTCACCTTTCTCCCCAGATTTTGGTTTCGCGCCATATTGCCGTGTGATCAGTATTCGTAATTATTAGGAATCCTACACAACCGTCTGTTTGACGTATCGAACCGATACAGAGGTCACGCAACCGTATTCAATACGCTGAAGTGCAAGTTATTTGACGCGTCAGAAAAAGGGTACTCTGGTTGTCAGTCGCGTTGGCTGTCAGTTGGTCTGGCAGAAAAGTGTAGTTACTGTATTGGCCATAAAGGACATAGAGGGAGCATCGCCCAGACAGCAAGCAACATTGGCTTGGCCTAACCAACGGAGTTGTGCAATGCCTTATTATAGCTGCGCTGCGTGAGCTAGAATCTGCCGAGAGATGACGTGAGTGAAACAGGGTGGAAGAATGTGCATGCACAGCGTGAGTTAGGACTGCATATTTATTTAGCTGGAGTCTTTAATTTAAAACTCAACGACGGTAGAACTTCTAAAGTTCACCGAGGCGGCTATTTCCGCAGCATGGGACGTATCCAAGTAACCGCATGTAGTGGACCACCGTAGAACCTAATCCCACCATTTTCCTTCTACTACCTGGTCGTTAGCTCTTTGCTCGTTCGCAATCCTCTCCCCGCATTGTCAGCAGCGGACAGCAGCTACGCTTCGTTTCAGAGTTCCTTAATAGTCCACCATTACTTGCTTTCGCAGAGGCCAAGGTTCAGTGCTGAGCTGTTGGTTCAATGCTATTTATCCGTCACTTGACGCTAGACACAAGCTCCAGGAGCCTCGTTCAGTCCGAGCGACCTGTTGCTGAACGACATTCGCGTCTGCTTCTCCTGCCGCCTTTCGTCCGAGTTACCGTTGTCGCCACTTTTCTTTAATGTCGGCGTCGTGAGCATTTCCCGAGACGCCCGCGACATTAATAGCTATCGATACGCATCCTTCTAAGAAATAGCTCAACAGACTAATTTAAGACGTCCTCGCTATAGTACGGATTAATAGCTCTTGTTATCGAGTTCGCGAAAGGAATGAGCGGGTCGGTAGACGACCGCAACATTAACACTTGCCTTCCCCGTCGCTTATGTCGCAAACGTCGCGAACGTCGTTAATGTCGCCATCGCCAGCGTAACCATGACCCTAGACGACCACAACATTAGCAGCTGCCGTTTCGCCTCGTGTAACACCTCGTTCGCATCAGATCGCGGCGGGGACGGCGGGGATCAGGCCCTGGAAATCCAACGGTCAGGAACGTCCCCTGTGATGGAGGGGGAAGAAGCGGAGAGCGGCCAGGAAATTAGGGTTTTTGCTGCCGCTACTAGCGAAATGATAGAAGATCCAGTAGCAAAAAGTCTTTCCGATTCGAGACGGGACAACAGCGGCAACAGCCATGAAGAGCTCGTACGCGATGCCAACGCTTCGTTACCAGAGGTAAGAGGGTTACTAATGGGAAGACTCAAACTGTCAAAAACTTCCAACGAACGAGTGAGTCTTGAGGCGTTTGGAGACTCAAGTGTGTTGGTAGACTCAAATATTGGTGCATTATTTTCCAGTGTGTAAACGACAAGAATTTCCCGCTCTTAATTTTCTTCCTTCAATCCATTTTCTAAATCATTCTCCTCGTCCTCCCTTTCCCGTTGGTCCTTCGCATCGAACCCTGCCTAACCAGCTTCTACCGAACTTGCCCTTCCATCCTATCCTGCATCCCTTCCCCCATCGCCCTCCCTAGCTGCTGCGCTCGCCAAACCCGGCGCCAGGTGGAAGCCGCGGAAGCCGTCCTGCCGTCCCTCATCTTCTTCCCCCGTCCCTTCTTCAAACCCCCTTACTCCCAACAACCTCCCCCCCCTCCCCCCCCCCCCCCCCCCTCTCCCTTCCACAGCTGCTGCGCGCCTTGTTGCGCCACCCAGGCGCCAGGCGGACACGTTCTGCCCGCCCTCACCCTCCTTCCCCGGCCCCTCTTCCCCCTCCCCCTCTTCCCCCGCCCCCCCCTCCCCCTCCCCCCCTCCTCCCCCCCCCCCCCCCCCCCCCCCCCCCCCCAGCTGCTGCGCTCCGTTTCGCGCCACCCCCGGCGGCAGGCGGACGCCGTTCTTCCCGCCTTGTCGCGCCTGCTGGACCTCCAAGCGCGCCTGCGCGCCCTCATCTCCTCCCCTCCGTGTCTCTCCACCCCACCCCTACACTCCCCCCCCCCCCCCCCCCAGCTGCTGCGCGCCTGTTCGCGCCACCCGCGGCGGCAGGCGGACGCCGTCCTTCCCTGTCCTCATCTCCTTCCGCTTTCCTCCCCCCCCCAACCCCTCTCCCCCACTCCCCCTCCCCCCTCCCCCAACTGCTGCGCGCCTGTTCGCGCCACCCCCGGCGGCAGGCGGACGCCGTCCTCCCCACCGTCTCATTTCCTTTTCCCGTCTCTCTTCCCCCTCCCCCGACTCCCCCTCCCCTCTCCCTCCCCCCATCCTCCCCAGCTGCTGCGCGCCTGTTCGCGCCACCCCCGGCGGCAGGCGGACGCCGTCCTGCCCGCCCTCTCGCGCCTTCTGGACCTCCAAGCGCGCCTCACAGCCGCGCGCTCCTCCCTCGGGGGAGCTCCGCGCGCAGAAGGGGAAGCTCAGGGTACTGAAAGCGCCGGGGGTACTGAGGGCGCGGAAGAGAGTGGCGGAGGGGGAGTGGGGAGGGGAGAGGCAGGTAGGGAGGGAGGGGGAGGTGCAGCAGCAGGGGAAACGACACTAGCAGCAGCAGCAGCAGCACCGCTAGCAGCGGCATCAGCAGCAGCAGCAGCAGCAACAGCAGAAGCGCCACCACCAGTGGCGTCACCGTGGCAACAGCTGGAAGAGCAGCTTTCGTTGGACGAACAAGATAGCGGCACAACAGGTCAAAAAAGTCAACCTGGGCCGGCCAGTCAAGCAAGTCGAACCCCAGAAGGCTCTCTATCCGAGATCCAAACCCTCCTGTCCCGCATAGACGCGCCACTCTCCCATGGTCTTGACCTGCTTGAGCAGGAATTCACAACCGTGCTATCCAAATCCAACCGAAAACTCAACCTCCACATTCTTAAAGCCGCACTGCACATGCAGAACCTCGCGATTCTCCCCAGCCCTAGAACCCGGGGAGGCGGAGGAGGAGGGGGGGGAGCGGGCGCAGGGGGGAGCGGGGCAGGCTTCGGGGCAGGGGCAGGGGGGAACCGCCGGGGGGGGTCGTTTTCGGTTACGGGGAATCTGTTTTCTAAGGGGTTGGGGGGGGACGGGGGAGAAGGGAGTGGGGGGGAAAGTATACCCCGTCTGGGGCGCGCCCTCCCCCCTCGCCCTCCTCCCCTGCTAACAAGCAGCATGGGAGGGCCGCGAGTCAGTTTCTGTTTGACGATCCGATGCTGATTGAGTACAACGCGTCACTCTCCGCCCGAACCTCCTCGCCGCTAGGCTCGGGCCGAGCCTCCGGGGCAGGTCCGGAAGGTGGGGTAGCGGGCGGTGGGCCTGGTCCGTCGCTGTTATCCCCCATGGGCGGTGGGACTGGCTCGTCTCTTTTGTCTCCTGTGGGGTGTTCCACTCCTCAATCCACGCTCTCTGATGCGGTGCTGATGGGTCCGGCTAGCAGCAGCACAAACACGAGCAGCAGCAGCATTGCGGCTGTGAGTGGACCGCTGGAGAGTCTGTTTATTGGGTCGGATGGGGCTGGAGCGGTGGGGGCAGCAGGAGGTGCTGCTGCCACTGGTGGCAGTGGTGGTGGGGATGGCGCTGCTGCTGTTGGTGTTGCTGCTGGTGGTGGTGTTAGTGGTGGTGGTGGTGGGATTAGTGAGAGCAGAAGCGGTGATGGAGTGAGCAGCATTGCCGCCGTGGTTGAAGGAGGAGGGGGTGTGATGAAATCGCGATCCGCCACCCAGCCAACTCTGCAAAATTCCTCCTCGTTCCCCGTACAAGAGAGCAAGTTTGGAATCATATCCTCCTCCTCCTTATCCCTGCCCCGATGCTGCTGCTGCTGCTGCTGCTGCTAGTGCTGCTGGGGATGGAGACGCCTCCGCTCCCCCCCCTAGAATCACCATCCCCCCTGTTTATTCCGATGGGTCCGGGTGTACTCCCACCGGTATAGTCACACCCACTTTGGGAACAGCTGCTGCCGGCACTGCTGCTGGCGCTGCAGCAGCAGGAGGAGCAGGAATCGTGGTGACAGAAGGCAGTGGGGAGGGAAAGGCGTCTGCTTCTGCTGCAGGGGATGCCGCAGGATCGAACCATCAGCAGCAGCAGGGGGCCGAGGAGAGCAACAGTGCTCTCACTGAACCTGCTTCTCAAACTGCCTCTGCTGCTGCTGTTGGCACTGGCGCTGGCACTGCTGCTGCTACTGCTGCTGCTGTGGGCACTGCTGGCGCCACTGCTGCTGGGATTGGAATTCGGCTAGGGAAGGGAGCAGCTGCAGGAGCAACAGCGGCAGCAGGAACAGCAGGAACAGCAGGAGCAGCAGGAGCAGCAGGAGCAGCAGGAGCAATAGGAGCAGCAGGAGCGGCGATATGCAAGGAGCTGCAGGCAGTCGGCGAGTGGGCGGAGTGGTTACCAGTGGCAGAGGTGCCGTGGCTTAGAAGGGCGGCTGCTGTGCTCATCCGCGCGCGAGGGAAGCCGCACTTTGCTGCGCTCTACTGGTGAGTCGGTGCATGGGATGGGCGGTGCAGTGGTGGGCTGGGATGGTGGATGCGCTCTACCGGTGAGTGTAGAATGGGGGTTGAGATCGAGTGTGTGAGTGGGAGAGTGGAGAGTGTGAGCATGCGCGAGAGCACAGCAGAGTAGGCTCATGTTACTCTAATATAGTCTCCTCATGTTACTGACTAAATCCCCTGCATTCACTGAGAGTGTTATCGCGACCCTCTATACTCTAAAACCCCTGCCTTCATGCTGCTGTATCGCTTCCCTCCGTCCCTTTCGCTGCCCCTGTGCAGCAAAGCGCGTCAAGCAACGGTGGCGAGTGCGGTGGAGAGTGTGAGCATGAAGGAATACACAGCAGAGGAGACGCAGGCCATGGCGTGGGCGGATCTAGAGCCGTTGATCAAGCTGTGGATCAGAGACATCAGCATCCTGGTGAGCCGCACATGGGATGGCACATGGTGATCGCATGCAGTGCACATGACGATGGTATGTAGTGAGGAGAGGACACGCAGGCCATGGCGTGGGCGGATCTGGAGCCGTTGATCAAGCTGTGGATCAGAGACATCAGCATCCTGGTGAGAGAGACGTGTACATGGCACATGGTGATCACATGCATTGCACACCACCACAGGGAGAGGGGGAGGATGGGGCGTGCAGTAGCGAGGGGAGGAGACACAGGCCATGGCGTGGGCGGATCTAGAGCCGTTGATTTAGCTGTGGATCAGAGACATCAGCATCCTGGTGAGTGAGAGGCACACGGGGCATGATATGCTCACATACATTGACGCCTCTCCAGCCACCATCAGTAGCAGCAATACCCTCCCTCCCTTGCTCTCCCCTGCCCTGCCCCCCGTGCTCCCTCTGCTTCCCCCCACCAGCTGCGGGTTCTCTTCTTCTCCGAGCATCAGCTCATCAAGGGCGTTCTCGACGCCTCTCCAGCCACCAGCAATAGCAGCGGCAATACCAGCAATAGTGGATGCAGCGGCAATAGCAGCGGCAATACCAGCAATAGTGGATGCAGCGGCAATAGCAGCGGCAATACCAGCAATAGTGGATGCAGCGGCAATAGCAGCGGCAATACCAGCAATAGTGGATGCAGCGGCAATAGCAGCGGCAATACCAGCAATAGTGGATGCAGCGGCAATAGCAGCGGCAATACCAGCAATAGTGGATGCAGCGGCAATAGCAGCGGCAATACCAGCAATAGTGGATGCAGCGGCAATAGCAGTGGCAATACCAGCAATAGTGGATGCAGCGGCAATAGCAGCGGCAATACCAGCAATAGTGGATGCAGCGGCAATAGCAGCGGCAATACCAGCAATAGTGGATGCAGCGGCAATAGCAGCGGCAATACCAGCAATAGTGGATGCAGCGGCAATAGCAGCGGCAATACCAGCAATAGTGGATGCAGCGGCAATAACAGTGGCGGCGCCGGCGGCTCTGCTGAACCCACCAGCACATGTGAAACACCTGACGAAACTCCTGAGCCTGCGGCTGAGGCACTGAAGGCGAATGACAGCACGACGCACAGCACATCCCAGAGCACACCTGAGAATGCACCTGAGGGACCACCTGAGAGTCCACCGGAGGATAAACCTGAGGGCAGGAGCAAGTGCGCGGAGCAGGCTGCCAGGAAACCCGGGGAGCACCTGATGAGTCCGGACAGCGTGCTTCGGCATCTAGTGGGGTCGGTGGGCGGGGTGAAATCGACCCTGTGTGTGCTGTGCGCGAATGCTGCAGCCATCGCTGCGTCTAAGAGCGCCCCTGAGAAGATCTTCGCGCTGCTGGAGGCATACCGCACTGTTGCTGACCTCTCCCCTCAGGTATGTCTTGCTATCCAGGTGGTAAACAGCGAGTTACAAGAGGTGGTAACCAGATGGCTTCTCACTGCTCGAGGTAAGTAAGGCTCTGTATAGTAGCCCCTGCTGCAGCCATTGCTGCGTCTAAGAGCGCCCCTGAGAAGATCTTCGCCCTGCTGGAGGCATACCACACCGTGGCTGACCTCTCCCCCCCCAGGTAAGCCAGCCCGTTACTAGAGGTGGTAACCAGTTACTACAGGTGGTAACCAGTTACTACATGTGGTAACCAGTTTCTACAGGTGGTAACCAGTTACTACATGTGGTAACCAGTTTCTACAGGTGGTAACCAGTTACTACAGGTGGTAACCAGATCGCATCTCTCTGTTGCCATCGCTGCGTCTAAGAGCGCCCCTGAGAAGATCTTCGCCCTGCTGGAGGCATACCGCACTGTTGCTGACCTCTCCCCCAAGGTGCGCCTGGCGCAAGTGGTAACCAGGTACTAGAGGTGGTAACCAGCAATCAGAGGTGGTAACCAGCTATCAGAGGTGGTAACCAGCTATCAGAGGTGGTAACCAGCTATCAGAGGTGGTAACCAGCTATCAGAGGTGGTAACCAGCTGCTAAAGGTGATAACCAGCTACTAGAGGTGGTAGCCAGTTACTAGAGGTGTTTATTCCTCCTCTCTCTTCGTCCCACTCCCCTCTCCTTCCTCAATTCCTCCCCCACCTCCCCTCAGGCTCCCGGCGTTCCTCGCTCTCCCCAAGAGCGATTCAGATGATCCCTTCAAGCTCTGGCAGCGCATCTCGCAGCTCACTTACCTGTCACACCCCCTTCCCTTCCTCTCCTTCCTTTCCCCTGCACCATCAGGCCTTACCAGTGTTCCTCGCTCTCCCAAAGAGCGACTCAGACGATCCCTTCAAGCTCTGGCAGCGGCTCTCGCAGCTCTTTGCAGGAGCCATCTTTGCCACTCTGGACGACCTCAACCGCATTCTCAGGGACGTGTCAGCCTTTGTGCCTGCGAATCAAGCCAGTGGGAGCTCACCAATGAAGAAGAAGCTGCTCAGGTGAGGCGTGGTCTGGCTCTGCTGTGTTGTAACAGCCTCTCGCAGCTCTTCGCAGGAGCCATCTTTGCCACTCTGGACGACCTCAACCGCATTCTCAGGGACGTGTCAGCCTTCGTGCCGGCGAATCAGGGGACTAACAGCTCTCCCATGAAGAAGAAGCTGCTCAGGTGAGAAAGGGCGTGGGCGTGTGTGACGGTTGGGGTGCGTTGGAGGCGAGTTGAGGGTGTCACATGTCCCTGTGAAGGAGCCATCTTTGCCACTCTCGACGACCTCAACCGCATTCTCAGGACGTGTCAGCCTTTGTGCCTGCCAATCAAGCCAGTGGGAGCTCTCCCATGAAGAAGAAGCTGCTCAGGTGGGGTCTGGTGTGGTGTGAGAGTGCGAGCCTGAGGGTGCCGTGCCACTGCGGCAGGCGTGCCTCTCACAGCTCTTTGCGGGAGCCATCTTTGCCACTTTCGACGAGCTCAACCGCATTCTCAGGGACGTGTCAGCCTTCGTGCCTGCAAACCAGGCATCTGAAAACTCTCCCATGAACAAGAAGCTTCTGAGGTGAGAGGGAGGAGCCAAGCACAGTTCATAGAAGTGAGCATTAAAGGGAGGTTGCCATCTTTGCCACTCTGGACGACCTCAACCGCTCTGCATTCTCAGGGACGTATCAGCCTTCGTGCCGGCGAATCAGGCGTCTGGTAGCTCACCAATGAAGAAGAAGCTGCTCAGGTGAGAGGAGAGGTTACGGTATGAGAGGGTGTGAGAGGGTGTGCGAGACAGTGGGCTGTATTCTCAGGACCTCAGGGACGTGGGGGGAAGTTGACTTTTGAGTCGACTCAAAAGTGACTCCGTATGAGAGGGTGTGAGACAGAGTCGGCTGTATTCTCGGGACCGCAGGGGCGTGGGGGGAGGGTGACTTTTGAGTCGACTCAAAAGTGACTCCGTATGAGAGGGTGTGAGAGAGAGTGGGCTGTATTCTCGGGACCGCAGGGACGTGGAAGCGTTTCTGCCAGCCAAGCCAACCAGGCATCTGGTAGTTCTCCCATGAAGAAGAAACTGCTGAGGTGAGAGTGGGTGCGGTGTGTGTGGGAATGAGGCCCTTGGGGTGGCGCAGTGGGAAGTGCTTCCTGTGAACCCATCTTCACCTCTTTGGATGAGCTCTCAACCGCTTTCTCCCCTTCTTTACCCACTTCTCTGCCTCTCACGTACCCCCTATAGGCTGATTCACTGGAAGTCCTCGGAGCAGAAGGCCACAAACGAGGAGGAGGTGGATATCGGCGTGCATAAAGTAACAAGCTACGTGATTAACTTCATCGCACAACTAATGGATAGGGAGAGCCGTGCGGACCACTATGGAACCCTAGAAATGGTCTATAAGAGGCATGCAGCAGATAAGAGGCTCATAGGCTTGGCTACTATTGGCGGGGCGAGTTTCAGGGACAGGGGAGGGGGAGGGGGAGGGGAGGTGGAGGCGGAGGGGGGAAGGCGGGGGGGAGCAGCGGGGGAAGCAAGTCCGGGGGGAGTAAGCTGGGAGGGGGAGGGGTGGGGAGTCACAGTACCAGAGGCAGTCAGGGGAACCAAGGAAGTCAATCAAGTCAATCGGGTCAAGGCAGCGGCAGTCAAACGAGTCAAGGCAGTCAAGGCGGCGGTCAAGCAGGTCAAGGGGGGAGTCAAGGGGGGAACCAGCTGCAGCACCCGAGTGCGGGTGGCAGGCGCCAGCTGGCGGCGGAGATGGAGGGGTTGCTGGATTCGTTGCTGTTCAACATGGAGGCGCGGGGGCGGGCGATCCAGGACCCTGCGATGGGGGCGCTGTTTGTGATGAACAACGCGCACTATGTGGCTGGCAGCATGTGAGTATGGGAGTAGGGGTGGGGGGAGAGAAGCGGAGATGGAGGGGTTGCTGGATTCGTTGCTATTCAACATGGAGGCGCGAGGGCGGGCGATCCAGGACCCGGCGATGGGGGCGCTGTTTGTGATGAACAACGCGCACTATGTGGCTGGCAGCATGTGAGTATAAGAGGGGGGTGTGGGGAGGAGGGGGGCGGAGATGGAGGGGTTGCTGGATTCGTTGCTATTCAACATGGAGGCGAGGGGGCGGGCGATTCAGGACCCGGCGATGGGGGCGCTGTTTGTGATGAACAACGCGCACTACGTGGCTGGCAGCATGTGAGTAGGGGGGGTGTGGGGATGTGGGTATAGAGGAAAGGAGGATGTGTGTAAGTAGTGCGCGCGGACGGGCGATTCAGGACCCGGCGATGGGGGCGCTGTTTGTGATGAACAACGCCCATTATGTGGCTGGCAGCATGTGAGTATAAAGGGGGAAGCAGCATGTGAGTATAGAGCAGGAAAATCAGCATGCGACTATAAAAGGGAGGTAAAGGTGGGGAGGTTTGGCTGTAGGTTGTGTATGTGATTATAGGAGTGCTGAGATGAGCAATGCTTGTTATGTGGCTGGCAGCGTGTGAGCGGGGTATGGGGTGGCATGTGAGTGGTGGGTGGGAACCTGCTGTGGGATCCTCTACCTCTTACAGTGATGTGATGTGAGGTGATCACCGTCAAAAGAATGGAAGAAAGTAAAAGAAAATAAAAATCGTGTGCCCCACATTTCTCCCCTCTCTTCCCCGCTCTTCCCTCCAAGTTTATTCGCCTCTGACAAAGAAACTAATTTCCCCTGCAGTTCTCCCCTCTCTTCCCCTCTTTGCTCTTTTCCCTCTTCCGCCCGCCAGTGTTGCAACGAGGATGAAGGACGCACTGAAGCAGCAGGACCGCGCCCCTCTGCTGCCTCTGACAAAGAAACCACTCCGACCCGCTCACACTGCTCTCTTCTCTTCCTCTCTCTTTCTTACTGTCTCTCTTCCCTCTTCCGCCCGCCAGTGCTGCAACGAGGATGACGGACGCACTGAAGCAGCAGGACCGCGCCCCTCTGCTGCCTCTGACAAAGAAACCACTCCGACCCGCTCACACTGCTCTCTTCTCTTCCTCTCTCTTTCTTACTGTCTCTCTTCCCTCTTCCGCCCGCCAGTGTTGCAACGAGGATGAAGGACGCACTGAAGCAGCAGGACCGCGCCCCTCTGCTGCCTCTGACAAAGAAACCACTCCGACCCGCTCACACTGCTCTCTTCTCTTCCTCTCTCTTTCTTACTGTCTCTCTTCCCTCTTCCGCCCGCCAGTGTTGCAACGAGGATGAAGGACGCATTGAAGCAGCAGGATCGGATCGCGGCCTATGAAGCAGCCTTTGATAAGGCGGGCCTTGCAAAGGTTGGTGCATTTGTAAGGGCAAGCTTTCCTACAAGGTGGTTTCTAGAATCCTCCAACAAACGGTCCAGAATTATTGACCATGTTGTGTTGCAGCTTTGAAAAGGCAGCTGTTGCAATTGTGAGTGTGTTTGGTCAAGGAACACAAGGAGCACCATGCCTGTCTGTCCTCCTTCAAATGCTTCTCGTGTAAAGAGGGTGTTTTTGAGACGTCTCAAAAAGATGTTGCAATCGTGAGTGTGTTTGGTCAAGGAACACAAGGAGCACCATGCCTGTCTGTCCTCCTTCAAATGCTTCTCGTGTAAAGAGGGTGTTTTTGAGACGTCTCAAAAGATGTTGCAATCGTGAGTGTGTTTGGTCAAGGAACACAAGGAGCACCATGCCTGTCTGTCCTTCTTCGGATGCCCTTCTCTCCAGCTCACCTGTCTCCTGCTCAACTCTCACTCTCTCTCCTCTCTTCTCTTTTCTTCCCTCTTGTTCCACCAGCTCATGGCATGCTTGGCGCCTGAAGAGGTATCTGCAAAGCTCAGCGCAGATGCAGTCAAATCCAGGTCAGTTTGGCTATGCTGGTCGACAGAAGTCAATGCGAGTCAACAAAAGACAGCTCGGCCTTTGAAAAAGTGGCGTTGGAGCAGAACCGTTGAATCGTGATCACCAACTCGCAGACTAAGAATGACAGCTATCCCAGTTATTTTCGTGTTTGACTTGCGTTGACTTGTATTGACTTCCCTGAACTCCCGTTTGTCTCCCGCCCTCTCAGGCTCAAGAAGTTCAGCTCGGCGTTTGAGGAGGTGGCGGTGGAGCAGAACTGTTGGATCGTAATCAGCAACTCTCAGAGGAAGAAGACCAGGATCCCAGTGGCCCCTGCGTTTGACTTGTGTTGACTTGCGTTGACCCCTCTTACCGTCTCACCAATATCTCAGGCTCAAGAAGTTCAACTCAGCCTTCGAGGAGGTGGCGTTGGAGCAGAACCGTTGGATCGTGATCAGCGACTCGCAGAGGAAGAAGACGAGGATTCGTTTCGCCCGCACACTCAAGAACGCTTACCTGGAGTTCCTTACACCTCATAGGTAGCTGCCACTTGTACTCACACATGCACGGACAGATACACACATGCACACATGCACTATTGTAGGAAGAGGATGAGGATCCGCTTTGCCCGCACGCTCAAGAACGCGTACCTGGAGTTCCTCACACCACACAGGTACTGGTTCACCCACACACATGCACATATACACAGGCAGATACTCACGCTCAAGAAAGCGTACCTGGAGTTCCTCACACCACACAGGTTACTGTCACTCAGTGTCTTGTGCGAATTACATGCATGTGGTAACTGTTGCCTTGCCGGTTAGAGCATACGCCCGCTCGCAGACCCTCTGCTTTTGAGGCGCCTCAAAGAGACTCTCAGTGTCTTGTGTGATTAACATGCATGTGGTAACTGTTGCCGGTTAGAGCTTACTCAAATGCGCCTACCTTCCCCATCTCCCCTCTCCCCTCTTGTCCTTACTCTCCTCCCCCCCCCACACCCCCCATCCCGCTTTTCAGGGAGATCATAGCAGACATCCCGACCTATCAGTGGTCGCCAGATGGCATCGAGCGATTGATGCTCAAGTCCTTCTTCCTCGGTCGAAGCCTCCCTCTCATCATGACTGCATGAAGGCCGTGCTGCTGCTATGCCTCCACACCTCCATGCCTCCACGCCCCCACGCCTCCAATCCTCGTCGCCTCCACACCTCCACGCCTTCATGCCTCCATGCCTATCGAGCAGTTGACGCTCAAGTCCTTCCTCGGTCGAAGCCTCCCTCTCATCATGACTGCTTGAAGGCTGTGCTGCTGCCACTCCTCCACACCTCCACACCTCCATGCCTCCATGTCTATTGAGCAGTTGATTCTCAAGTCCTTCTTCCTAGGTCGGTGCCTCCCTCTCATCGTGTCTGCTTGAAGGCCATTCCTCTCTGCTTGTTAAATGCTCCCATGCCTATCGAGCGGTTGATGCTCAAATCCTTCTTCCTCGGTCGAAGCCTACCCCTTATCATGACCGCTTGAAAAACATACCATTAGGCACCATACCACCGCGCCACCATCCTCTCTCCTATGCTTGTATGTTTCCTCCGCTGCAGCCTCCCTCTTTTCGTGACTGCATGAGAAGCATGCCTCCATGCTTCCTGCCTTATGATTCTTGCGGGCATGCTACTATGCTTTCATGCTTCTTTGCTTCCTTTGCCAGAGCCTCCCGCCTTTAGCTTCCCTGTTAAGGTCCAGCGAATAGCAACATTTCTGAAAAGTACATGTACCTCTAACCTACCTTTATGAATAAACTACACCTAAATAACCATATTAACGCGGCGGCTAAAATCGAAGTATCACCCAACCCTCGAATCACATCCATCTATGGCTCATCCGCGCCTCGGAATATCCTCCTCCCCTTCATTCACTAAAGCCGTTGGGTTTGATTCTCCATATGTAGGCCAAGCCTTTAGCCTTGTATGGCAAAGCGGCACTGCGTTGTAACGGAACGAACCGAGCTAATCCAGTCAGTTCCCATCGACGAGGAAAATCACCGCGAATCGCGACGCTTAGGCGGCAACCGATTATTGATTTCTTCATATGCCACCGAATAGATTAATATAATGTCCGTTCGCCGGATATTACGGCCCTTCGCAATATTAGATGCGCTTCGTTAGCTCTGATCTTCCGACTCGCTGGATGTCGCGGTCCCGCAGGGCGGCCGTTGGTTGGCCTTCGTGGCTCTCCGTAGTAGCCGCAGTAGCGGGTCTCGTGTTTATAACGCGGATACAAGCGCAAGGAGACGCGGGCCTGGAGCACGCGATGTCCTTATATCGGGTACAGCACGGCATTTCTACATCCCTCGTAAATCGAGACTGCCAATAAGCATGTGTACTTATGATTCGTGTCCGTACATCGTCCCGCTTCCGCCGTATCTTTCCCCCTGAACATGCCCCCTCTCCCCAACCGTTCCCCTTTCCCCCATCTCTTCCCCTGACAGGCATGGGAGGCGGCATATGGCTTGCAGGCGGACTCCCCCCTTCCCCCTTCCGCCATCGCCCTCCCCCCGCGCGTTCCCCCTCCCCCGCACCTGGAGGACTGCGCTGTCCTGACTGCCTGGCGCTGGGCGCAGGAGCATGGGGAAGCGGGGGGTGCGGGGGGACAGGGGGAAACGGGGGAACCAGGAGAAGTGGGAGAAGGGTGGGAAACAGGGGGGGCAAGGGAAGCGGAGAAAGCGGGGGGAGGAGGGGAAGAAAACAGGGGGGAATCAGGGGAAGAGGGGAAAGTGGGGGAAGGAAAAGGGGGACGATCAGGGGAAGGCTCGCAAGTAAGCGGGGGAAGGGGGAAGCTTCCCCCCTGGGCGGCACAAGCTCACCCCCAACCGCCCTGGATCGTCGGTTCTGACGCGGCCAATCTGGCGATGACACGTGTCGCTCAGCGGGACATCTGGGCGCACCAGTTCCCCCCTGGGGGGGACTGCAGCAACAAACGCCTCCTATTGGTGGATTGGCCTAGCTCGGCGCACGGGATTGGCTCACAGCTGCATATCATGAGCGCGATTCTGAGCGTTGCAATGCGGTTCAAAAGGGTGCTGGTTCCAAGTCGGGGGTCGTTCACTCGAGCTAGTCACCCCGATTGTAACGGTGAGTTGTTCTAAGAGGGTGTTGGTTGCTCAAGAGTCATCCTCCCACCCACATCCTCCCATATTTTTATTATTATTTTTTTTTCAACGACTCAATAATAAGCAGCCACAGGCACTTTTTGTTCCATCCATTGCTCCATGTTCCCCTGGCCTCTATTTGAGACGTCTCAAAAGTCTTCTGCTGCTGCTTCTTCCCTTCCCTGTTGCCTTTTCCTGCCACTGCTACTCTTCGACTGTTGCTGCAGTCGAAATACAAGACCCAGAACCTTGAATTGCCCACGCAACTGTTGCTGCAGTTGTTTTTTTTTTTTTTAGAGCGCGTCAAAAGCCACTACCTTTCGTTTCCTTCGTTTGCAATTTGTCCCCTTCGTTTCCCCCAAATTGCAGCCACAGGCACATTCGGCTCCTTCCACTGCTACTTCTTCCCCTCGTCTCCCCCGCCTGTGAACGTGAAGCTGAGCTGGCGGCAGTGGCGGCAGCAGCGGCCAATGAGACGCTGCCACGTGTGACAGAGGAGAGCAAGGAGGCGGTTCTGGCGTCAGATCAGCGAGTGGTGCTGTTCCATCGGGAGCCTTATAACGGATTGCGCTTTGAAGGGGATGTGAGGTGAGGGAAGAGGATGGACTAGGGCAGGGAGTAGAGGGGAGGGAGTAGAGGGGAGGGAGTAGAGGGGAGGGAGTAGAGGGGAGGGAGTAGATGGGAGGGAGTAGAGGGGAGGGAGTAGAGGGGAGGGAGTAGAGGGGAGGGAGAGCAGCGAGTGGTGCTGTTCCACGGGGAGCCTTATAACGGATTGCGCTTTGAAGGGGATGTCAGGTGAGGGGAGGCAGAGGAGGAGAGGGTATCAGGGGTGAGAAGAGAGGGGGTTGCGCACTATTTAGATGAGAGGGGGGTTGCCTCAAAAGTCAAACACATTATTCTCTTCCTCTTTCCTCCCTCCCCCCTCCCGTCCACACACACACACACACACACACACACACACACACACACACACACACACACACACACACACACACACACACACACACACACACACACACACACACACATGTGTAGCTGTGACCAACCTAACACCATAGAGCTGGTTGGATTCGTGGGGGAGGGGGATGAGACAAAAGGGGAGAGCCTTTTCTGACCTCTATCCGCTGTCATTCCCTCCCCCTTTCCCCCCTCCACACGCGCACTCACACACATCTGCAGCCGTTGGCCCAATGCTTATCGTGAGCGGCCTAACACCATAGAGCTCGTTGGATTTGTGGGGGAGGGGGATGACACGAGGCAACGGGTGCACTGGTGGAGGGCTCAATCTATTCGTTTCCTCCTCCGCTCCCCCTCTGTCTACCTCTGCCACATCACCAATCGCGTCCGCCACACCTCCTACGGTCTCTCAGTTGCTGCCCACCTCGCCGCCTCTGCCGCCCAGCAGGCCGCGCTGGCCCGCACCCACCCGAATATTCTATCCTCGCTAAGTGCTGCTGCACCGCCGTGTATTGGCGGTGATGGAAGTAGTAACCTTTTTGGAGCAGCGGTTGGTGATATAAGAACTAACAGTAGCAGTAGTGAAAGGGTTTTTTATGAAAGCAGCAAGCGTAGTGACGCTGGTAACCCAAACAGCAGCAGTGGTAGCTCCGGCAGTCACTCTACTGGTAACACTGATGGTGGTAACCCTGCTGATAACCCTAAACTGATGGGGGGATTCCCGGTTCTAGACAGTGTTCTGAATGGGTGCACTCTGGAGTCAAGGGCATGGGCAGAGAGGAGACGGACAGCAGCACACTCAAGCTGCACCTGCAGCAGCACAGACAGCACCAGTGCAACAAATACAACAGTAAGTGGCGCCCCCGGTATAACTGACAGCAGATCTCTCAACTACAGGCGTCTAATTCTCGGGATCGAGCCGTACGTGCCGCGGCCGATAGTGAGTATGCATGTGAGGCAAGGCGACAAGGGCAGTGAGATGCAACTCAACTCCTTCGCGGCTTTTATGTTCTTTACCTACCGGCTAAGGAGGGCTGACCCGGACGTGAAGCACGTGTGGCTGAGCACAGAGATGCAGGTGAGAAAGCAGGGAGGTTTGGTATGTCTTGTTCCTGTTACCACTAGTTTCATGCCTCTTGTTCATGTTACTCCCCCCGGTTTCCATTTTCGTTGTCTCCCTGCAAAACTGCAGTCTGTTATCGACCAAGCGAATCAATTCAAGGACTGGTCATTTCTTTACTCGCACAACCCGCGGCAAAGCAGCAACAAGCACATGGTGGATTATGAGCGAGATGTGGGGCATCAGCTAGTTGGCATTAGCTTTGCGAATCTAATTATTTCCTCGCAGTGTGATTATTTTGTGGGCGCGCTGGGCTCGAATTGGAACAGGTTGATTAATGAGCTACGGGTAACTAATGGTCGGCTTTTTAAAGGCTATGTGACGCTGAACAACGACGAGTTTTGATGCAAGGCATTATGGAAAGAATTACGGTACAAATTTGTGCAACTACGGTGTCATATACCTGTCTCACGACTGAAACATTTCAATCCGACCATACTAAGGAGGAGAATTAGGTAAGACAAAAAGAAACTGCTTTGATACACTATGTATGGACATGCATAGTACTACCGTATCTTCAGTATACAAAAGCATTTTCATATTAAGTCCCAGAAACTGGCTTCACGCTTTTGAAAGAGGAAAAGGGAAAGAGGGAGAAGGAAAAGGGAAAGAAAGACACCAGAAACAACTCAAACGCAACACCCATAAAAAGCCCCATAAAAATACTCCATAAAGAAAAAACCCAACCAGGATCCCCTACCAGACGTCCCATCTCGCACCCCATTCCCCCTCGCCCCCCCCCCCCCCCCCCCCCCCCCCCCCCTCCCCCCCAAGTCACATCTGCACATCCACCATGTAGGGGGCCTCCACCCAAAGAGGCCCGCCCTCCACCTCGACATCGTCCCTCTCCCGATCCACCAAGTCCACATTCAACCCCCCCATGGAAGACGCCGCCCGAAGCAGGATGACACGAGCTTGCGCCCGTTGTAACGCCACTCCGATGAGCGCCTTCAGAGACCCCAAAAGGTAAGCCGAGAACGAAGTGTCATCCTCCCGACAAGCCCCCCGTGACACAGCTAGCCCCACGTGCGCGTCCCCCTGCTGTCGAAGCCACCGCCGGAAGCGACCGCCGAGACACCCCCACGTCTCCACTATCAAAGGGGTGAACTGCACGCCTCGGTTCCGTGCAAGAAGAGGCGCGTAATCCCCCGTTTTGCGACGCTCCCACTCCTTTGCCGCCACGCCTATAGACCGCCCGCACTGCCCTAGCAGAGATGGAGACAGTGATAGCGGGTCCGCGACACTAATCTCTAAAGCATGAGCCTCCCCAGCCATTGGTCGTCGCACCGCTACGTCAACCCGCTTCCCCGGCAGCACCGCACTATCCTCCATCGTCACCACCCCCCCTGACGCCTTAGCGATCTTTGCCACCGCAAACTTCACCTCATCATGCACCCGAGATGGACCGTGTTGGTGCTTGCATCTCAGCGCATGATGCGGGTCTGCTGGGTCATCATACGCTGTGCCACAAACACACTTCCCCGCCACTTGCAGCTGCTGGATTGGGAGACCAAGCCGTATAGCAGCAGCAATGCCCCACTCCGCTGCAGTGAATGTGAGATCTGAATGAGCCGGAACTGCCGAAACCCATGCACCAGCCCCCGGGCCCTGAAGGGATGTGAAACGGGCCAGGGTGGCATCGTCACGAGCCAAGCGGCGGAGTGCCTGGAGCTCCTCAACAGCCAACTGCCGCTGCCGCGCCTGGAAAAGCCGAAGAGGAGGGGCCGCCACACACAGGGGTAAGTCCGGCAGCTCCTGGCGTATAGTCGCGGGCAACTGCTCAATGGCCTTGGCAAACCACGGGTCAAGAAGCTCGAACATAGGAGAGCGGACTCAAAGAGGCCGCCGCCCGGATCCCAAACCCTCCGAGGCGCACAGGGAGATGCAGCTGCATGCGTGCGCGCCTAGACCTGCCGGGATCCTGCTCCCAAGTGCCAGGGGGGAAAAGCTGCTCAAAGCAATCCTCCAGACAGCTGTCCCACTCTCTAAAGGCCTCCACCACCTCCGGCCGCGGCGGCATAGTCCGGGCCAGGTACATCGGCCGTGCTGAAACTGCAATAGCGAGGAGATGCGAGGCCATCTGGGGGTGGTCGAGCAGGGGGAGCCACGGCAATGGCGCCTGCAACTCGCGAAGCCGCTTCCGTAATCGGGCCCCCTCCCAATCCTCCTCCCCAATAGGCACGCCCACCACAGTAAGACCCTCCTCCTCCCGCTGCATCCCCAAAGGCAATGCCCGCTCCATATCCCCACCTCCACGCTCCCAAAACCTGCACTTGTGCGCCTGCACTTCCAGCCCCACCCACTCCAACCTCTCTCGCAGCACCCCAAAAGCCTCCAGAATCCTAGCCGCTGGTCCCAGGATGTAGGTATCGTCTGCATAGCTCAAGAAAAGTAGGTCCCTGAACTCTCTAGTCACCGTCCCCAGCACCTGCTGCTGCGTGAAAGCGAAAAGAAAAGGGCCGAGCGGGTCCCCCTGTCGCGATCCTCGTGCCGACTCAAGACTCTGTACGAAAGGGCCCGCTCGGAGGTACAGGTCGCTAGGTGTCCCATAGAAGACACGCAAGAATGGGATCATTCCTGAGAAAGGCGACTCCTTCAGCCCCTCGAACATCGCGTGGCGATGAAACGAATTGAAGGCGTTCGCGACATCTATCTGCAGCGCACACCAGTCGGGGTGAGTGGCCAGCGCTGACCGGAAAGAATGAGTAAGAATCTCCACCCCGGCCCTGGTGCCCACTCCCAGCTGGTTACACGGCAGAAAATAAGAAGCCATCACAGGGCGAAGCGAGATGCAGAGAGCTCGAGCGAGGATACGCGGAAGCACCTCCCCGATCGCCACCGGCCGGACGTCACCGTTGGGTTTGGAAAGCCCGACTAGGTTGGATGCGGCGAGCCAGGGCCGAGCTCGCTCGGGGACCTGTCCCGCCACCCATTGGTTGAACACTTCCAGCAGGTGGGAGAGGCAGGAAGGTTCCGTGAGGAAAGTGTCGCGCAGATGCTCTGTGACCCATCCCGATGGCCCTGCAGCTGAGGCGCGAGCAGCTGTGTGGATAGCTCTAGCCAGAATGTCGGTCGTGAGTGGAGGCCGCTGAGGAGCGTCGACAGTAAACTCACGAACCCACGGTGGTACCTCGCCACTGCTAGCTGGGTGCTTCCCTCGCAGCGACTGCACCATAGCCTCAGTTGGTCGAGCCAACTCTCCTGCTGTGAGGCAAGACAAACCACGGCTCCACTCTCCCACTTTACACCGAGATCGGCACCGTGACAGGCGGATGGCCTCCGGGTCCTGGTCAGAGCACGTGTAGGCAAGTGGGCGAACTGCTGGCCGTGCCGCCGCCATGGCAGCGTCGAACAACTCCCGCCACCTCCCCTCCCAGAAGGCCCCCAGCCGCTCTATGATCAGCGCCTTCTGACCTATGCCTGGCTTGGGAGGCACGGCTAGGATGAGGCGCGGAAACGCCAGGAGTAGGAGGGTAGCAGCTTCATCTCCCGGTCGGCTCTTCAGCCGCTTCAAGATGCAACAGAGTGCGTCTAAGACCCCGGACCGGGCCCGCTGCGGGATTCGGCGCACTGTCCTCCCTCCAACCGCCTCCACACAGAAAAATGCCTCCCACTCCCATGACTTAACCCCTGCCCACGCCTCGTCCCCAAATTCCCGCGGCGTCGGTCGCTCCTGTGTGTCGGTCTCCACCAGAGACGGGATCGAGCCAAGTGCCTGCGCGCGTCTCTCCGCCTCAGCCGCCCGGCATACCCTCATGTGGTTCGCAGCGGCCCCTCTCGTGGCGAACGTGTGGAAACACGTGTCACACGGGAAACGGGGGCATGGGGAAGGCGGACTGGGTGGTTCTCCGTCCGCCTCTGACTCCTCCGCAGTCGCCATGGGGGTATCAAACTCCAAAAGTCGGCACCACTCCTCCAACTGCTGTTCCCGGTCGTCCATCGATCCCCCCCCTGCCTGCTGCGTACCCTGGGGTGCCCCGGGCACCCTCGGCTCCCCTCCTGCCTGCTGCACTCCCTGGGGTGCCCCGGGCGCCCTCGGCTCCCCTCCTGCCTGCTGCACTCCCTGGGGTGCCCCGGGCACCCTCGGCTCCCCTCCTGCCTGCTGCACTCCCTGGGGTGCCCCGGGCACCCTCGGCTCCCCTCCTGCCTGCTGCACTCCCTGGGGTGCCCCGGGCACCCTCGGCTCCCCTCCTGCCTGCTGCACTCCCTGGGGTGCCCCGGGCACCCTCGGCTCCCCTCCTGCCTGCTGCACTCCCTGGGGTGCCCCGGGCACCCTCGGCTCCCCTCCTGCCTGCTGCACTCCCTGGGGTGCCCCGGGCACCCTCGGCTCCCCTCCTGCCTGCTGCACTCCCTGGGGTGCCCCGGGCACCCTCAGCCCCCCTCCTGCCTGCTGCACTCCCTGGGGTGCCCCGGGCACCCTCGGCTCCCCTCCTGCCTGCTGCACTCCCTGGGGTGCCCCGGGCACCCTCGGCTCCCCTCCTGCCTGCTGCACTCCCTGGGGTGCCCCGGGCACCCCCGGCTGCCCCCCTGCCTGCTGCTCTCCCTGGGGTGCCCCGGGCGCCCTCGGCTCCCCTCCTGCCTGCTGCACTCCCTGGGGTGCCCCGGGCACCCTCGGCTCCCCTCCTGCCTGCTGCACTCCCTGGGGTGCCCCGGGCACCCTCGGCTCCCCTCCTGCCTGCTGCACTCCCTGGGGTGCCCCGGGCACCCTCGGCTCCCCTCCTGCCTGCTGCACTCCCTGGGGTGCCCCGGGCACCCTCGGCTCCCCTCCTGCCTGCTGCACTCCCTGGGGTGCCCCGGGCACCCTCGGCTCCCCTCCTGCCTGCTGCACTCCCTGGGGTGCCCCGGGCACCCTCGGCTCCCCTCCTGCCTGCTGCACTCCCTGGGGTGCCCCGGGCACCCTCAACTCCCCTCCTGCCTGCTGCACTCCCTGGGGTGCCCCGGGCACCCTCGGCTCCCCTCCTGCCTGCTGCACTCCCTGGGGTGCCCCGGGCACCCTCGGCTCCCCTCCTGCCTGCTGCACTCCCTGGGGTGCCCCGGGCACCCTCGGCTCCCCTCCTGCCTGCTGCACTCCCTGGGGTGTCTCGGGCACCCTCGGCTCCCCTCCTGCCTGCTGCACTCCCTGGGGTGCCCCGGGCACCCTCGGCTCCCCTCCTGCCTGCTGCACTCCCTGGGGTGCCCCGGGCACCCTCGGCTCCCCTCCTGCCTGCTGCACTCCCTGGGGTGCCCCGGGCACCCTCGGCTCCCCTCCTGCCTGCTGCACTCCCTGGGGTGCCCCGGGCACCCTCGGCTCCCCTCCTGCCTGCTGCACTCCCTGGGGTGCCCCGGGCACCCTCGGCTCCCCTCCTGCCTGCTGCACTCCCTGGGGTGCCCCGGGCACCCTCGGCTCCCCTCCTGCCTGCTGCACTCCCTGGGGTGCCCCGGGCACCCTCGGCTCCCCTCCTGCCTGCTGCACTCCCTGGGGTGCCCCGGGCACCCTCGGCTCCCCTCCTGCCTGCTGCACTCCCTGGGGTGCCCCGGGCACCCTCGGCTCCCCTCCTGCCTGCTGCACTCCCTGGGGTGCCCCGGGCACCCTCGGCTCCCCTCCTGCCTGCTGCACTCCCTGGGGTGCCCCGGGCACCCTCGGCTCCCCTCCTGCCTGCTGCACTCCCTGGGGTGCCCCGGGCACCCTCGGCTCCCCTCCTGCCTGCTGCACTCCCTGGGGTGCTCCACCGTATCTTCTATGTTGTTCATTACCAAATAATTGCACCTGACCAAATAATATGGATTTGGTCAATCAAGGCGGGAGTTTAGTTGGAAAGACGTGTAAGTCCTTCACTAACTAACGCGTATAGGATACACGTTTACCCAGATGGTGTAGCGACACGTGTTAGCGTTCGCCTTTTGAGCCAACTTTGGGAGCTTTTCTGCTGACGTGGCACTCTTTCTGACCAGGCCATTCCCGCGCAAACCCAGATATCGTACTGCCACGCTTCTGGCGAGAAATGGCTTCTTCTGCCAACCTGACTCCAGGCGGCTAGGGGCTTCCGAAAACGGTTCAAAACGATGCTGTGCAGTTAGACACAGTTCATCGCTGGCCTCTTACATTGTTGCATATACCTGATCCTAGTCAACTTGGCCAGTTTCAATAGCACATGGCCCCGCAGATGTCTTTCTAACTTCAGAAAAGCGTTGGGGCTCAGCCGCTGTCGTTGTCGGATTGAGATTCTCAGAACGCTTCGTTATTCGCCAGGCGTATGCGTCTCGTAGCCTTCTTGTGAATCCGCCATCAGTAGCTTTTGGGGGCTGTCAGAATCCTTCATAATTAATAGCCGTCGATTGTTATAAATTTAACTTGGCATTATCCTCTGTCGTCATGGCTCATATTCTAAACGCCTGCGCTGCTGGCAGCTTGACCGCCAGAACCCTACCGTACGGGTGCGCTCTGAACGGATTCACAGATATTAGACATCTTCCAGTTTCTCCGCGCACCGGCATCCCATTGCGAAGCGCCTTTTCCGGAACCAGAAGCTTTTTAGAAGCAAAGCGCAACTGCAGAATCCCGAAACGGCGAACCTTGGGATTCCCGGGCCGTGCTCGTGCAGAGGATACGAGCGACGCCAGCGATGCTAGCGGCAATCCAGTTGCGGAAACAGCCAATGTCGCCGACAGGCCGGCGACCGACGGCCCCCTCCTTCGGCCTCGATCTGTTTCCATACCCTTTGGGGATCGAGAGGTACGGTTGGTACAATGCCTAATCATGCTTTCTCTACCGTTTGAGCCTTTCCTGAGTCTCTCGCTTCATTCCCATTCTTTCCCTCTCATTCGCCTTGCGTTTTCTTCCGCTTCAAGGTTGTATTGTCGACGCAAAAATACATCTCTCGCGTTTCTTCGCATCCGTTCCCTCCCATTCGACCCTCTCCTTCTTCCAGTTAGCACGCTCTGCTTCTCAGATAACTGTCGAGACTGTTTTGACCAACGCAAAACGCATTCATTCACATCCATTCCCTCCTTCCTATTTCCACGCTCTGCCTCTCAGATTACCGTTGAGGTGGGACGAATGGGGCGACAGGCCAACGGCGCCGTGACTGTAACGGATGGAGAAACGGTGCGTGCATATAGCGAGGCAATCCAACGGGGTCGCCATGTGATATCTTGTACCACGCGTTTTATCTGTTCCTGCCACAATTGAACTGCTTCGCATGGATTTTTTTCCCCTTAACAGATAGTGAGACGTCTTAACAGGATCGCATAGAGCCCAATCAACACCTTCCGCCATCCCCCCCGACAACTTTCCTTCCTCCCCCACCTTTCCCTGCCATTACCCAGGTGCTGTACTGCACAGTGTGCGCTTCGGAGGAGGAAAGTGAGCCCTCGGAATTTGTGCCGCTCTCTGTGAGCTACCAGGAGAGGTTCAGCGCTGGGGGGCGCACCAGGTGAGAATCCGCACTGTAGTTGCATTGCCCAGGTCCTGTACCCGTACTTTCCTGCACACACCATGGGCGCGTCAAATCAGAGGAGGAGAGTGAGCCCTCGGACTTTGTGCCGCTCTCTGTGAGCTACCAGGAGTGTTCAGCGCTGGGGGGCGCACTAGGTGAGAACTAGTGATGGGGGCTGCAGCAGGTGAGAGTCAGTGCCACACTCGCCCCGGCCAGGTCCTGTAGTGTACTGAACATGGGTGGGAGTGGCGGCTGCTGGGGGGCACACCGGGTGAGAATGAACGCTGAGAAATGAACCAGCCGATTTTTTATCTTTTGAGGCCTGCTCATCCCATTGCCCGTCTTCCCCATTGCACGGTGATCCGGCCCCTCACGAGTGGCCTCCTGCTTTTACCCCCTTGTCCACACCTCACCCTTCCTCCTGATATGCAGTGGGGGCTACTTCAAACGGGAAGGCCGGCCGAAAGACCATGAGGTACGCTGAAGCGCCGCTTTTGATGGCTTCATGTAAGTCGAAAGCGTGAGTACAACATATCATAGCATGTGACAGTGTCTAAGGCTTGTCTGGGGTTTGGGCCACAGGGTTGCACGGGCAGGAGAGGCCATCTATGTGTACACTGGTTCTTTCAACCGTTTCTTACCCCATTTTTTCCCGTCTGTTCTCTCACTAGATTCTGGTGTCTCGCCTGATTGACCGCCCGCTCCGTCCCATGGTGGCCAAGGGCTTCAACCACGAAGTGCAGGTCCTCTCGTGGGTGAGTCAACGACGCTGGAATTTCTGGGTGCAGGTCAGTCGACAGCAGCTAGGGTGTAGAGTTTCGGGTCTAGGGGGGAATAAGGGTACTGTTCGTGCCGTAGTGGAGCCACTTGAGAAGAAAAAAAATAAAAAGTGACTTCTATGTATGTACCTGGTAAAACCCCAAACCTCCCGTACCGACCCTCCCTGATTCTCAGCTGTTGATGGGGAGCACAGCCGCGATGCCCTTGCCATCGCTGCTGCTTGTTTTTCCAATCGACTCGGATTTTGTCTCAAACTTGCAAGTCAGAACTCTCTAAACCCGTGACCTCCCTTCCCTGCTCCCCCTCTCTCCCTCCCTTTCTGGGTTGCTTGCAGCTTTTGAGCTACGACGGGGAGCACAGTCCCGACGCCCTCGCCATCACTGCTGCTTTTGCTGCTTTTGAGTCAACTCAAGAGTCAAGAGTCGACACCTCAAACCCATTACCTCCTTTTCTTACCCTCCCTCCCTTTCGTGGTTCTCAGCTGTTGAGTTATGACGGGGAGCACAGTCCCGACGCCCTCGCCATCACCGCTGCTGGCGCTGCTCTGTATGCTTCTCTTTCCCAATCCTGCTCTCCCTTGCACTCCCCCGTATTCTTCTCCTCTGGTCATAATTCTATGCCTGTCCCCACTACCTCTGATAACCATGCGATCACTGCTGCTGGCGCTGCTCTGTATGCCTCTCTTCCCAAAGCCTGCTGTCCCCGGCTCTCACCTGCATTTTCCTCCCCTGGTCATGACTACATGCATGTCCCCACTACCTCTGATGACCATGCAATCACTGCCGCTGGTGCTGCTTTGTGAGCGTCTCTTTGCTCGCTCCTGCTCCCACTGCGCACCTTACCGCTGCTCTCTCTGTTCTGGGACGTTTTCGTCCCTCTTTCCCCTGATGCTCCATCGCTTTGCCTCCTCTCCCCACCCTCCACGCACCCTTCTTCCCTTCCTTCCCCGCCTTTCCCCAACTCCCCAGGGCTGTGTCAAACATCCCACTGGCGGGGATGGTGCGCGTGGGCATGGTGAATGGCACTCTGGTCGTCAACCCCACCAACCAACACCACTCCACCCTCCCTTCCCCACCCTCCTCCCACCCTTCCCCCCCCACCACCACCCCCAACTCCCCATTCCCTTCCCCCAGGTCTGTATCGGATATCCCCCTGGCAGGCATAGTGGCGGGGGTGCGTGTGGGCATGGTGAATGGCGCTCTGGTAGTCAACCCCTCCAACCAGTTCCTTCTTTTCTTCCATGCGCCCTCCATGCACCCATCTTCCCCCACCCTTCACCCCAGGGCTGTGTCGGATATCCCCCTGGCGGGCATAGTGGCGGGGGTGCGCGTGGGCATGGTGAATGGCGCTCTGGTAGTCAACCCCTCCAACCAGTTCCTTCTTTTCTTCCATGCGCCCTCCATGCACCCATCTTCCCCCACCCTTCACCCCAGGGCTGTGTCGGATATCCCCCTGGCGGGCATAGTGGCGGGGGTGCGCGTGGGCATGGTGAATGGCGCTCTGGTAGTCAACCCCTCCAACCAGTTCCTTCTTTTCTTCCATGCGCCCTCCATGCACCCATCTTCCCCCACCCTTCACCCCAGGGCTGTGTCGGATATCCCCCTGGCGGGCATAGTGGCGGGGGTGCGCGTGGGCATGGTGAATGGCGCTCTGGTAGTCAACCCCTCCAACCAGTTCCTTCTTTTCTTCCATGCGCCCTCCATGCACCCATCTTCCCCCACCCTTCACCCCAGGGCTGTGTCGGATATCCCCCTGGCGGGCATAGTGGCGGGGGTGCGCGTGGGCATGGTGAATGGCGCTCTGGTAGTCAACCCCTCCAACCAGTTCCTTCTTTTCTTCCATGCGCCCTCCATGCACCCATCTTCCCCCACCCTTCACCCCAGGGCTGTGTCGGATATCCCCCTGGCGGGCATAGTGGCGGGGGTGCGCGTGGGCATGGTGAATGGCGCTCTGGTAGTCAACCCCTCCAACCAGCAACTGCAAGGGTCGCCGCTAGACCTGGTGGTGGCTGGGACTACCGACTCTGTACTCATGATCGAGGTACAGCAGAAACCGTGACCATTAACTGAGAGGAAGGGTTATTGGGTTGAGACCTCTGCCCAACCAACCAGCAGCTGGAAGGGTCGCCGCTAGACCTGGTGGTGGCTGGAACGACCGACTCGGTTCTCATGATCGAGGTAGGTGCAGTGCAGCCTAAACCCTAACCCTGAGCTGAGAGAGGAAGGGTTGTTGAATTGGAACCTCTGAGCCCCCCCACCAACCAGCAGCTGCAAGGATCGCCTCTGGACCCGGAGATGGCTGGCACTACCGACTCAGTGCTCATGATCGAGGTAAGTACAGCCCACCAGACTAAATTCGACCTGAATCTGGGTGGCTTGATTGTAGTGCGGTGTGGTCGTGTGCAGCCCTGTATGCAGCTGCTCGTCTTGTAACACCTCCACCAACCAGCAGCTGCGGGTCGTCTCTGGGCCTGCCTGCCTGCCCCTGTTTCTCCCCTTCTCTGCCCCCAGGGTTATTGCAACCTCCTGTCGGAGGAGCTGTGGCTGGAGGCGGGGTTCTCCCTGCTCACGTTCCTCCCTTAGTGCCTCGCGCCCAATCCCTCGTTCCCCCTCTCCTCTCCCATTCTTCCCTCCAGGGCTACTGCAATCTCCTGTCGGAGGAGCAGCGGCTGGAGGCTGTTGCAGCAGGGTAGGTGCTGCCGGCCTCTCCTGCTTGCTCATGCTCATTTCTGGTAGTACCAATAGCCCCTTCCCATCTCATCTCTTCCCCCCTTCTCTGCAGGGTTATTGCAACCTCCTGTCAGAGGAGCAGCTATTGGAGGCCGTTGCAGCAGGGCAGGTGGGTGGTTATATTATATGCGTCAACATGCCATGCGCATTGAGATATTCATATTGAGATATTCATATTGAGGTTTTCATGAATCTTTGCCGTTGATTGTTCTACGCCTTAAAGTTCTTCCTTCTTAACCGCCCATAACGAAAATCCTTCAATCCAGCTTGCACCGATGGACCCAGAAGGTGGAGGGAGTGGCAAAGCCCAAACTCTGCCGCCATCCACGCCCCACCTCCATACCCCCTTTTTCCCATACACACATGTGCGCATATATGCACATACAGCAAGCCATCAGTGCGATCTGTCACGGCCTGCACAAGTGGACACAAGATACGGAGGGAGTGGCAAAGCTCAAGCTCACTGCAGCCATCCACGCCTCCCCTTGCACACACACCCACCCATTTCTTTTCCAACAGCAAGCCATCAGTGCGATTTGCCACGGCCTACACAAGTGGACGCAAGATACGGAGGGAGTGTCAAAGCCCAAGCTCACTGCCGCTATTCACGCCCCACCGGCTGACCTGCTGGGTCGGCTGGAGGGACTGGTGGGGGCGGACTTGGAGGGGGCGCTGACACACAACTTCGCGTTCCCCCTTTCCCACAATTTCCCTTTCTTTCACTCACCCACAGCAAGCTATCAGTGCTATTTGCCAAGGCCTACATAAGTGGACCCAGGAGACGGAGGGAGTCTCAAAGCCCAAGCTCACTGCCGCCATCCACGCCCCACCGGCTGACCTGCTGGGCCGGCTGGAGGGGCTGGTGGGGGCGGATTTGGAGGGGGCTCTGAGGATTGAGGGGAAGAAGCAGCGGGGAGTGGCGATGAAGGCGATTGAAGAGAAGGTGCTGGGGGCTCTCACAGAGGCAGGGCAGGCCGCAACCAGGCAGGTGAGAAGCGGGACAGGCTGCAACCAGGCAGGTGAGAAGCGGGACAGGCTGCAACCAGGCAGGTGAGAAGCGGGACAGGCTGCAACCAGGCAGGTGAGATGCGGGGCAGGCAGCAACCAGGCAGGTGAGAGGAGGGGCAGGCAGCAACCAGGCAGGTGAGAGGAGGGGCAGGCTGCAACCAGGCAGGTGAGAGGAGGGGCAGGCTGCAACCAGGCAGGTGAGAGGAGGGGCAGGCATTGGCTGAGGGTGTGAGCTCTGAGCCGTCTCAAAGGTAAAAGAAAGAGCAGCAATCAGTGGCAGTGGCAATGAAGGCGATAGAGAGGAAGGTGTTGGGGGCTCTCACAGAGGCAGGGCAGGCCGCAACCAGGCAAGTGAGAGGAGCAAGGAGGATTGCGAGTAGTTTAAGAGAGCTGTCAGAAGAGGGGCGAGTAGCAGGGATGTGGAAGGTAAGAAGGGGACTGGCAGACGAGGGCTGGTGGTGCTGCCAGGGAAAGGGGACTTGCACTCACAAGGCACCTTGAATGGCCTCCATTGCACCCATCTCCACCCCACCCTACCCCACCGAACCGAGCCATTCCTCCATGGCTGGCAGGTGGCAAAGGAGGAGAGGAGGACGAGGAGGCAGAGTTGGCAGAGTCTGTCGCCTGGGGACTCACACTTGCATCCATCTCCATCCGTCTCCACCCATTTCCACCCATCCCCACCCACCCCCACCCATCTTCACCCAACGTCACTCCCAAGGCTTTCAGGCAGCAAAGGAGGAGGACGAGGAAGCAGAGCTGGCAGAGGAGGAGGGGCTGGTGGTTCCCCCAGGGGACGTGACTCACATTTGCAATCATCCCCACCCATCTTCACCCATCCCCACCCTTGTTCACCCACCCTTGCTCCATTGAGTTCCAGGCAGCGAAGGAGGAGACGAGGAAGCAGAGCTGGCAGAGGAGGAGGGGTTGGTGGTGCCGCCAGGGGACGGGGACGAGGGGGAGGTGCATGTGCTTGTTTGATGCTTCACCCCTGCCTTTCACTCCCATCCCCGCCCACCCTAAACCTGCAACCGTTAACCCCAAACCTGGCTTCCAGGCGGCAAAGGAGGAGGACGAGGAAGCAGAGCTAGCAGAGGAGGAGGGGCTGGTGGTTCCCCCAGGGGATGTGGACGAGGGGGAGGTGCATGTGAAAGGCTCAGGGGTGGGGACGGTAAAGGGAGGAGGGAAGGGCAAGGGGAGGGCGGATGTAGTGGAGGTGGCATATGACCCGGTGGATGTGAAGAAGCAGCTCAAGGAACTGACGTCACGGATCATGCGGCGCATTATTGTCACTGTGAGTTGCTGTTAGCCCTGAGCTTGAGTGTGAGACTGTTCTTGAACTCAGGGGGGGTGTCAAAGACAGAGAGAAAGGAAGGGTGGCATGTAAGCCGGTGGATGTGAAGAAGCAGCTCAAGGAACTGACGTCCCGAATCATGCGGTGTATTATCGTCACTGTGAGTGTGCTTGCTTGCTTTGAAACGCCTCAAAACCACAAGACTGAGACAGAAAGTTCCATATGACCCGGTAGATGTGAAGAAGAAGCAGCTCAAGGAACTGACGTCCCGGATCATGCGGCGCATCATCGTCACTGTAAGTGGTTAGACGTGACAAATCTTGAGTCTAAGGGGCCTCGGAACAGCAACATGTGGACAGGGAGTGAGGAAGGGCGGATGTGGTGGAGGTGGCATATGACCCGGTGGATGTGAAGAAGCAGCTCAAGGAGCTGACGTCCCGAATCATGCAGCGTATTATCGTCACTGTGAGTGTGTTTGCTTGCTTCGAAACGCCTCAAAACAACAAGACTGAGACAGAAGTGCCATATGACCCGGTGGAATGTGGATGTGAAGAAGCAGCTCAAGGAGCTGACGTCCCGGATCATGCGGCGCATCATTGTCACTGTGAGAGCTGGGATTTGGCAAAACCTGTAGCGTGCGTTTGAGCTGATTCATTCTAAATGTCACCATGCCCCATGATCCGTCCCCATCCCCTATCCCCCATGTCCCATGCCCCATGTGTCAGAAATAGGCTTAGAACTGATACATTAGTAGTGAGCTCAAAGCTTTTTAAGTACATCAGGACTGAGCAAGGTATGGATGAAGGGGGAATCAGGGGGCAATCCTAGGGAATCAAGGGTAATCCCAAGGCAATCTCCAATTGGTGGGTTGGAGATTGCTTGGAGATTACATTTGGGTTTGGTTGGGATGTGGGTGTACACCCAACCAAACACAAAGTGCAAACTACACTAAACTAGGATATAAAAGTACAAGTACAAAATGTGAGATTGAGGGCTAAGACCAACACCCCCCCATAGGCGTCAATCGAACTCATGACGGAGGAAGAGGAGCGCAGAGCCCCATGGCGCCTAGAAGGCGATGGTGAGGGACCTTTCCAAGGGGCTTGGTGAACAAATCAGCCAAGTTGCAGTCAGAGGCCACATACTCCACATTGAGCTGCTCTCGCTGAACAAGATCACGAATGAAGAAGTGTCGAAGTTCGATGTGCTTGGTGCGAGTGTGGTACACGGGGTCCTGGGAGAGGTGGATGGTGCTCTGGTTGTCACACCAGAGGGTGGGAGTGGGCTGAGGAAAGCCAAGCTCCTGGAGTAGGAAGGAGGGCCAGCGGGCCTCCTGAGCTGCCATGGTGCCGGCATAGCGCTCGGCTTCACAGGAGGAGAGAGAGACTGCAAACGACCGGGTGGAGCGCCAGCTGATAGTCCCGCTCCCAAGGGTGAAGCAGTAGCCTTGGGAGGAGCGTCGGTCGGTCTGGTGACTGGTCATCTGCCCAGGAGGAGTTTGTGTAACTTTCCAGTCGAGGAGGGGAAAGCCCACCAAGGGTGAGGACATGAGACTTGGTGCCCTGCAGATAGCGCAGCACCCGCTTTGCCGCTTTCCAGTGAAGGTCCGTGAAGCGCCCAGGAGCCACTTATCGAGAGAGGACACTGACAGGGTATGCCAAGTCAGGCCGGGTGCACATCATGGCGTACATGAGGGACCCAACAAGCTCTGGGTACGGCTCAGTGCATGCCTCTGGTGTGGGTACAGCTGGGGCGATGAGGAGGTGTTGTAGCGGCAGTGGGGTGGCGATGGGTGTGCACAGCTCCATCTCAAACCACTTGAGTACATTGTTGATGTAGAACTCCTGAGAAAGAGAGATGGTGCGAGCCTTGCGATCACGAGTGATCTCCATCCCCAGGTAGTGTTTGAGGTCACCGAGGTCTTTCATCAAGAGGGCCTTGCTTAGGGCCTCCTGAACAGAGGCCATCTGGGCCGAGTCCTTGGCAACGAGGATGAAGTCATCGACGTAGACAAGGATGTAGAATGGCTCAGAGTGACGGCGAATAAAAAGGGTCGGGCCGGCAGAAGAAGGGTGAAAGTCCAGTGAGAGAAGGACTTCCTTCACTTTGTTGTGCCATTCCCGAGGGGCTTGCTTGAGGCCGTAGACAGGGCGATTCAGCTTCCAGACAGTGTTGGGAGGGAACTCTCCCGGAAAGCCTTAAGGTCGATCCATGAATACGGTTTCCTTGAGGCGTCCTTGCAGGAAGGCCGAAGATGCATCCATGGATTTGATCTCAAAGTCTTCTCGTGCTGCTACATCTAGAAGCGTGCGAACAGTGGGTGGTTTGGATGTGGGGGAGAAGGTCTTGAAGAAGTCCAGGTACTGCTGCTGGGTGAACCCTTTTTCCACGTAACGCGCTTTGAACACTGGGGCCTCGTCCGGAAGCTGTTTCACTCGAAACAACCACTTGCCACCAACGATGTTAACTCCTGGAGGTGGAGTTTCGTCGTCGAATGAGTGGTTGCGGGTGAAGGCTTCAATCTCAGCTTCCATGGCAGCACGCCATTCGGCAGCATGGGGACCCGAGAGAGCCTCTTGAACGGTGAGAGGGATGGGGATGGTCGGGTTCTCCGTGAAGTTGAGTGAGGGTGAGTCAGTGATGTCGGGGAATATGTGCGAGAGCTGAGGAGTGACTGCATGAAGATCACATAGCTCCTCATGCCTGTCTTCCAGAAGGGTAGAAGGCATATCCCCCCCCAGCAGGAGGAGGCGGAGTGATCGCTGTGCAGCGAAGAACCAGGGCCAGCGGAAGAGCAGCCCGTGCGAGCGAGTGCGATGAGCCACCGGAGAGGAGGGTGGAGCAGGTGGTGTCGAAGGGGTTGGTTTGGGAGACTTAGGCGAGGGAATTGGGCGGCGCTGGTACGTGATGGGTTTGGGCGACTGTGGTGGAGCGGGTGCCTGGGTGGAAGAGGGGACTGGTGGAGGAGGTGGGGCCGGAGGGTTCGACCGCCGATGGTATGTGATTGGTGCGCTCGGAGGGGGCGGCACAGCTGGCAGAGGGGGAGGTGAGGGGGATGGAGGAGCAGCTGCCGACGACACCGGTGAGGTCGAGTCAGAGACCGCAGAGGGGGATGGTGCGATGGCAGGAGAGGTAGGAGGTGAGGGGGCAGGTGCAGGCGGGAGGTCGGGAGGCGCATCAAAGTCTGCCCAGACGAGAGAGGGTGGATCAGAGGGAGGATCCTGACCCGAGGTGGAGTAGAATGGGCGGGTCTCATCAAAGACCACGTCGCGGCTCCGAACTAGCTGTTGGGTGGAGGGGTTGAGGAAGAGGTAGTCTGGAGAGTCGGCATTGTGCCCAAGGTAGACGCACGTCTGAGTCTTGGGGCCGAGTTTGCCACCGTGCTGCCGCCTAGCCTGAGGGTTGAGGAGGACATAGGCGGTGCACCCCCAGACGCGAAGAGAGCGAGCAGTGGGTGTTTTCCCGAGCCAGAGTGTGGTAGGAGTGGTGTCGGGAAGATGCGGGTGGGGGTAAAGATTGTAGAGGAGGGCAGCATGGTAGAGGGCGTATCCCCAGAGAGAGAGTGGAGCGTTGGAGTGGCTGAGGAGGCACCGAGTGATTTGCACCAGGGTGTGGTTGCGGCTTTCTGCGATGCCGTTCTGCTGCGGGCTGTCTGGAAGGGTGAAGTTTTGCCGGATGCCTTCTGAGGAGCAGAAGGCTTTGAGCTTGTCGTTGCAAAATTCACCCCCCCCCATCCGAGTGAAGGCGCTTGACCTTGCGGTCAAAAGTGGTCTGTGCCTGCTTGACCCACGCTATGATGACCTCTGGAGCCTCAGCCTTAGTGTGGAGGAGGTGAACAGAGACGTAGCGGGAGTGGTCATCCACGATAACAAGGAAGTAGCGATAGCCACCTCGTGCGAGAACAGGGGCAGGGCCCCAGACGTCCATGTGCACGAGGTCCAGTGGTGCTGCTGCGACTGTGGGTGAGGCAGGATGGGGCTGTTGGCGCAGTTTGCTCTTGGTGCAATCAAGGCACGTGGGAGCGGGTGAGTCAGGTGGTGGAGGAAGTGCGGCTGGCAGGCCGAGGAGAAGTTTCTTGGAGGCCATGTCAGCAAGAGTGCGGAAATTTGGGTGCCCGAGCCGATGGTGGTAGAGGATGGTCGGGTTGGAGAGGGTGCGACATGAGCATGGTGTGGTGGTAGCCTGTGCTTGGGTGTTTGAAACCTGAGGAAGAGGTACGCGTAGTGTGTAGAGACCGCTGCTGTTGAGGGTGAAGCGGGCCAAGACTTTGTTGGTGAGTGGATCGATGATGTCACAATGGTCCTCATTCTCCAAGAAGATGGTGCGTAGCCCCGCATCTTGAATTTCCGTTTGAGCTACTAGATTGTGGCGTAGGGAAGGCACGCACATGCTAGTGACGGTGCCGGATGGGAAGGCGGGGCATGGGACTGTGGAGGTACCCTTGGCGAGGGTGGTGAAGCTGGAGTCAGCTCCCAAGAGAGGGATAGGTGTTGGGTAGGGTTTGAAGGAGAGTGTCTCCTTGAGCACAGTGTGAGTGGCCCCGCTGTCGAGTGTGAACTCTATGTATTGTGGTGCCTGTGATGAGCCGATGTACTGGGAGGTAGCTTCATTAATCATGGCAGTGCCAGGGAACAACAGGTTGATACGCACATCAGCAGGAGCACTATCACTAGTACTAGCCGAAGGGGGGTCCTGGACCTCAACGAGGTTGGCCTTACGAGGGCGCATCCAGTTTGGCGGCTTCTTGTCAACTCCGTGGACAACATACCACTCGTCGTCTTTCTTCTTGAAGCACGTAGCAAGGGGGTGGTTAGTGCCACCACACACTTGTCCCTTGCGGTTGCCATACTTGACGACGTAGGGGCACGGAGGAAAGCGGTTGCGCTGGAAAGGCGCTGAGGCGAGAGCCGCTGCGACATTTGCTGGGGGCATGGGAGCGCGGATGGCGTACGCCTTGGCCTGAGCCGTGGAGTCTTTCTCGGCAGAGAGGAGTGCGGTGGAGACCTTAGCAAAAGTGAGGTCTTCCGCTGAGAGCGTGAGGAGCATCTTCCTCGTGACTTCATATGCCGAGGTGAGACCAACAAGAAGGGCGGCTGCAGGGGCTTGCTCGGGGAAGACTATACCCAGCTCCTTGAGTTCGCCATGAATGGTCTGCACCTTGGCAATGTAGTCGGCCATTCCCGAGCAGTCCTCAAGGCGGACCTGAAACATGCTGGGGATGTGAATCGCCACTCCGACCGCCGTCTTGTTCATGAACCGATCCTGGAGATACTTCCAGATGGCGTTGGAGGTAGGGTAGTTGTGGAACGTGTTGACAAGTTTAGGAGGGGTGGAGGCGATGAAGACGCTGATGATGGCAGCATCGGCCTTCTCCCATTTCCGGTACTTCTCAACAGCTTCCTCATACGCCCTCATGTCAGTATCACTGGCGGATTCGGTCGGCTCACGGGGGAGAATAGGTTGTTTCCCCTTTCCACGGTTGAGAAGGACATCCTTGAGATCGAGTCCCTGCACGTCACGGCTCAGGAGGTGCTTGTCAACTCCGTAGCTCCATGCCTTGAAGTTGGAGCTGGAGCCATCGGCTTCAAGGCGGAGCGGGGTGATGGGGTTGGCCATGGTGGACGAGGAGAGAGCCATGATGAAGACCCCTTAACTTCTCGCGCGGAGCGCCGCTCTTAAGTCACCGATAGGAACTGGCGCGCAGCGCGGCGATTTTGAAATCCGACGGACCGGAATAGCGAAAATCGTCAATGTCGGCCGCGTCGAAATGCCACGTAGAAGGATTTTTCAGGCCGCCGAAATTAGGTCGAATCGGCCGATTCCCGTAGATCTAACAAACCCTAATCCCACACACCCCCCCACACACCACCCTCAGCTTCGCGGCTGCGCTGCTGCTCGGCTTCGCAGCTACACGGCTGCTTTGCTTTGCGGCTACGCTGCTGCTCGGCTGCGCTGCTGCACCTGTTCAGCTGCGGGAAGGGGGAAGGGGTAGGAGTGCAGATGCGGGGCGACGGGCGGCAGCCCGACGAGAAGCTGCGGGGCGACGGGCGGCGGCCCGACGAGGAGAAGAAGTGACGAATTGATGTTCGACGAAAACGAGTGTTAGGTTATAGCGCCGACGATGCGCTTACCAAGAAAATTGTCGTCGGAAGTGACGGGAAGGTGTTGCGGGAGAATTTCCGCCGACGAATGTCGCGAGTTACCGGCGACGAGATTTACGATGGCTTCGCCGAAGTTTGCGGGACAAGTATCCGCAGAGATAAGAGGATCACGATCCGCGTATGCGGTTGAAGGGCTCTGATACCATGTCAGAAATAGGCTTAGAACTGATACATTAGTAGTGAGCTCAAAGCTCTTTAACTACATCAGGACTGAGCAAGGTATGGATGAAGGGGGAATCAAGGGGCAACCTTGGGGAGTCAAGGGTAATCCCAAGGCAATCTCCAATTGGTGGGTTGGAGATTGCTTGGAGATTACATTTGGGTTTGGTTGGGATGTGGGTGTACACCCAACCAAACACAAAGTGCAAACTACACTAAACTAGGATATAAAAGTACAAGTACAAAATGTGAGATTGAGGGCTAACACCAAAATGTAGCGTGCGTTTGAGCTGATTCATTCTAAATGTCACCATGCCCCATGATCCGTCCCCATCCCCTATCCCCCATGTCCCATGCCCCATGCCCCATGCCCATGTTTCTCCCCTCCTTCCTCTGCCTGCAACAGGAGGTTCGTCGCAATGATGGGCGGGGAACCAGTGACGTGCGCCCCATCGAGTCTGCCTGTGGCGTCCCATCCTCCATGCCCCATGCCGCATGCTCCATGCCCCATGCCCCAACCCCCATGCCCACCCATGTTTCTCCCCTCCTTCCTCTGCCTGCAACAGGAGGGCCGTCGCAGCGATGGGCGGGGTACTAGAGAGGTGTGCCCCATCGAGTCTGCCTGTGGCGCCCCATTGCCCAAACCCCATCCCCCATGCCCATGCCCATGCCATGTCCACCCATGTTTCTCCCCTCCTTCCTTCCTCTGCCTGCAACAGGAGGGCCGTCGCAGTGACGGGAGGGGTACTAGTGACGTGCGCCCCATCGAGTCTGCCTGTGGCGTTCTGCCACGTGTGCATGGCAGCGCACTGTTCACCCGGGGGGAAACTCAGGTGGGTAAACTTGTGGTGGGTGGGGTGGGTGCGTCAGTGGGTGGAGAGGGGGGTGGTTGGGTGGGTGGGAACAGGTTGTTTTTTCGAATCTCCAAAAGGAGTTGGGTGGATGGTTGGGAGTGCAGGCACAAGTGCATGCGTTCCTTTCTTTTTTCCCCTCCGCCCGTTTCCCCATCAATGTTGCCCCTTCCTTACTGCCGTTGCCCCTTGCCCCCTCCCCCATTCCCCCTTCCCGCGTTTCCCCCAGGCACTGGCGGTGGCGACACTGGGAGGGGAGGACAGCGCACAGAGATTGGACCACCTCACTGCCACGTCAGAGCTCAAGCGGTTCTACCTGCAGGTCTGTGCTTGAAATTATGTGTGCATGTACTGGTGTGTGCCTGTGATGGTGGTTGCGTGTGTTGTTGTGTGCAATTCCCCCTTCCACCTCACCTCACTGCCACGTCAGAGGTCAAGCGCTTCTACCTGCAGGTGTGTGCATGTGTGCCTGTAATGGTGTGTGCTTGTTATGGTGTAAGCCTGTAATGGCATGTGCTTGTGGTGGTGTTTACATACAATTGGACCACCTCACTGCCACGTCAGAGCTCAAGCGGTTCTACCTGCAGGTGTATACTTGTAAAAATGTGTGCTTGTAATAATTGGTGCTTGTTTTGGTGTGTGCTTGTAACGATGTGTGCTTGTAATGGTGTGTGCCTGTATTCTTGTGTGCGCTTCTCCCTTCCACCTGCACTGCAGGTGAGGTGTGCGGCTGAGATGGTGGGGGGTGAGGGTCCCATTCCCCTCTTCCTCCTCCACGCCCCCCATGCAGCTCTGGCAGAGAGGTCGCTGGAGCCTCTGAGCCGGTGCTGCCAGATGCAGCCCTGGCAGCTAATGCGATGAATACTTATGGTGACTTGAGCTCTCAAACACCCCATTTCACGTGCCTGTTTCTCCCCTGCTTCCACATCCCTCCCTCCCCCCTCCCCATGCACAGTACACCTTCCCGCCTTCTTCAGTTGGCGTAACCGGTCGCGCCGGTTTCACCAGCCGCAGGGAGAGGTGGGGCACGGGGCTCTAGCAGAGCGGTCGCTGGAGCCGGTGCTACCGGCAGGGCTCTCCCCCCCCATTCCCCCCTCCCATTCCCTCTCCCCATGCCCCTCCGCTTCCCCCATGTCCCCCCCGTTTTCCCCATGCACGGTACACCTTCCCGCCCTCTTCAGTCGGCGAAACCGGACATGTGGGGTTGACAAGCCGCAGAGAGGTGGGACACGGGGCTCTAGCAGAGCGATCGCTGGAGCCGGTGCTGCCAGATGCAGCTGTAGCAGAGCTTTTCCCCACATTCTGCTCCACCTCTTTCTACCCTCCTCCCCCCACACACAGTACACCTTCCCGCCTTCTTCAATGGGTGAGACGGGCCGGGCGGGGTTCACCAGTTGCAGGGAGGTGGAGCACGGCGCTCTAGCAGAGAGGTCGCTGGAGCCGGTGCTGCCGGATGCAGCTGTAGCAGAGCTCTCCCCAATTCCCCCTTCCGTTTCCCCCCCAACCCCCCTGAATCATGTCCCCCCATCACCCCCTTCCTCTCCCTGCCATTACACCTTCCCACCGTCCTCCGTGGGTGAGACGGGCCGTGCGGGGTTCACCAGTCGCAGGGAGGTGGGGCACGGCGCTCTAGCAGAGCGGTCACTGGAGCCGGTGCTGCCGGATGCAGCTCTGACATAGCTCTCCCCCCAAATTCCTCCCCTCAATCGCAGTACACCTTCCCACCCTCCTCCGTGGGTGAGACGGGCCGTGCCGGGTTCACGAGTCGCAGGGAGGTGGGGCATGGCGCCTTAGCAGAGCGGTCGTTGGAGCCGGTGCTGCCGGATGCAGCAGGGTTCCCCTACACCGTGCGAGTGGAGTCCAGCATCACAGAGAGCAACGGCTCCTCTAGGTAAGTTTGGGGTTAAATGCAAGCGGGTGTAAGGTTTCAGGGTGAGGGTTTGGGGTTCAGGGGCACCGGTGGAGCCGGTGCTGCCGGATGCAGCAGGGTTCCAATACACCGTGCGCGTGGAGTCCAGCATCGCAGAGAGCATGGTAATGGTAATGGTAATGTTAATGGTGGTAACGATAATGGTAATGGTTATGGTAATGGTAATGGTAATGGTTATGGTGGTAATGGTAATGGTAATGGTAATGGTTATGGTGGTAATGGTAATGGCAATGGGTAATGGTAATGTGTAATTTTAATGGTAATGGTAATGGTAATGGTAATGGTAATGGTAATGGTAATGGTAATGGTAGTGGTAATGGTAATGCTAATGCTAATGCTAATGCTATTGCTATTGCTAATGTAATGGTAATGGTAATGGTAATGGTAATGGATATGGAGCTTATGCTGCACACCGTCTTCCCCTTTCTCCTCTGCTTCCCTTTACCTTTGGCTGTCCTTTGCAGTATGGCATCGGTGTGCGGTGGCTGTGTGGCAATGTTCTTTCACCCTTCCTCCCCTTTCTGTCCCTTGCAGCATGGCATCTGTCTGTGGCGGGTGTCTCGCAATGCTGGATGCAGGAGTGCCTCTGCGTGCGCCAGTAGCCGGTGTGGCAATGGGCCTCATTCTACACACCCTGTTTCCCTGTCTCCCCTCTTCTCCTTCTCCCCCGTGTTGCCCCTTGCAGCATGGCATCTGTCTGTGGCGGGTGTCTCGCAATGCTGGATGCAGGAGTGCCCCTCCGTGCGCCAGTGGCGGGGGTGGCAATGGGCCTCATTCTGCACACGGAGCAGGCAGGGGGGACGGCACCCCAGTCATCCTCACAGACATTCTGGGGTCAGAGGATGCGCTGGGAGGTGGGGTTTTCATGCTTCTTTCACCCCTTCCTCCCCTGTGTGTTTCTCTCCTTGCAGCATGGCATCTGTCTGTGGAGGGTGTCTCGCGATGCTGGATGCAGGAGTCCCCCTGCGTGCGCCAGTAGCTGGAGTAGCCATGGGTTTGATTCTGCACACGGAGCAGGCAGGAGGGGACGGCACCCCGGTCATCCTGACGGACATTCTGGGGTCAGAGGATGCGCTGGGGGACATGGACTTCAAAGTGGCTGGCAGTGCCAAAGGAGTGACGGCATTCCAGATGGATATTAAAGTGCAAGGAATCACCATTGATGTGATGCGGACTGCACTGGAGAGGGCCAAGGAAGGACGGCTGCACATACTGGGTGAGTGAGTGCCTCAAAAGGTGGTGATGGGGTGAGTGCCAGTGTCTGTCATCCTGATGGACATTCTGTCTTTGGCCCGCGCCAAGGAAGGGCGGCTGCACATCCTGGGTGAGTGCTGTGCTGCTGGCTGCTTCTGGGATGGGAGGATACTCTCCTCTCCCCAAACACACTGGTCATCCTGACGGACATTCTGGGGTCAGAGGATGCGCTGGGGGACATGGACTTCAAAGTGGCTGGCAGTGCCAAGGGAGTGACGGCATTCCAGATGGATATTAAAGTGCAAGGAATCACCATTGATGTGACGCGGACTGCACTGGAGAGGGCCAAGGAAGGACGGCTGCACATACTGGGTGAGTGAGTGCCTCAAAAGGTGGTGATGGGGTGAGTGCCAGTGTCTGTCATCCTGATGGACATTTTGGGGGGGAACGACGATGCACACATTTGAGGCGAAATCGTCCCCTTTACATTTCCAGGGTTTAGGGTTTACGAAGGAGAATTGTCTTGGTAAACCCTCTAGGGTGTTTTTGATGGTCGAAATGGGTTAGGGGGGGTCGACATGACGCAAAATTGACAGTCACGTCGAAATCGTTGAAGTCAATTTCGCGGCATTCCAGATGGATATTAAAGTCCAAGGGATTACTATCGATGTGATGCGGACCGCTTTGGAGTGGGCTAAGGAAGGGCGCCAGCACATTCTGGGTGAGTGGGACAGGCAATGACATGACTTGCTCCCAAAGGTGATGCATGCCTTCAAGTGGCGACGTTTCAGTTATGGACATCAAAGTTTGAGGATTCAGAATTGATGTGATTATTTGAAGCTGGGCTACACTGGCCCGGGCCAAGCAGGGGAGGCTGCCCATGGTGGGTGAGTGCTCTAAAAGGTGAGTATTTATGCACCCATGCGCCCATGCACCCATGCATCGTTGCACCCATGCACCCATGCACCGTTGCACCCATGCACCCATGCGCCCATGCACCCATTGCACCCGTGCACCCATGCGCCCATGCATCGTTGCACCCATGCACCCATGCCCATTCCCCGTTGCACCCATGCACCCGTGCGCCCATGCATCGTTGCATCCATGCACCCATGCGCCCATGCCCCATTTACAACCATCCACCCATGCAACCATGTGTCTATGCACCCTTGCACATATGTTCTCATGCACATATACCCTTGCACCCATGTTACTGTGCTTCCGTGCAGGTGAAATGGCAAAGGCTTATCCTCCCCCGTCGAAGCGCCTCTCGCAATATGCCCCCCGATGCGAGTCCATCCAGGTGTGCAGTGCAGTGCGGTGTGTGGGATTGGTTGGGGTGGGGTGCGGTGCGATTGAAGGGGGTGGGGTGGGGTGGGGTGGGGTGGGGCGCGGTGGAGGCATGCAGGTGGGTGTTGATGAGCAGGGTTGCGGATAGTGGCATGTGGGCAGAGATCGATATGGCAGGATGCAACCAAATATTCATTCATTCTCCACTTTGATTTTGTTGTCACTCCCCTTTTCAAATTTTTGTTGTTTTTTACCTCTGCGTCTCTTCCTCTCCCCCTTCCTCGTTCCCCTCCTCTCCCCTCCTCGCTCCACCCCTCGCTCTCCTGGCAGGTTGACCCAGAGAAGGTGAACCTCATTATTGGCAGTGGTGGCAAGACTATAAAGAGTATAATCGAGGATTCTGGAGTTGATTCGATCAACATCGAGGACGGGGGACAGGTATGGCTGATTCAACTAGAACCAGACTCTCAAGCTGCTTCGAAGAAAAGTATGTTACTTACTCTACAAGATGCAAAGGGCATCAGTGAACTAAAGAGTCAGTACGTGGTTACCAGCATGTGGTTACTCCTGTGTGGTTACCAGCATGTGGTTACCAGCTGGCTAGGGAGCGCATAGAGGGGATCAAATACTTCCCATTGTCCCCCTTCTTCCTCCATTTTTCCTACGATCTTTTCCCCTCTCCTCTTCAGCTGCGCGTATACGCACGGTCGGAGGCTGCATTAAAGCTGGCGAGGGCGCGCATTGAGGAGTTCAAATACGTTCCCCCCCTCCCCCCTCCCCCCTCCCCCCCCCCTCCTTCTCCCCTCGTTCAATCACTCGCCCGTCAACCCCACCAGCTGCGCGTATACGCGCAGTCTGAGGCGGCACTGGAGCTGGCGAGGGCACGTGTGGAAGGTTTCAAACCTCCCCACTCCTCTCCACTCCTCCCCTCTTCCCTCTCCGCATTCGTGCTCCCCTCTCCCCTCTCAGCTGCGCGTATACGCGCGGTCTGAGGCGGCACTGGAATTGGCGAGGGCACGCATTGAGGGACTGACGATGGTGCCGGAAGTGGGGCAGATCTACCGGTGAGCGTGACTGTGATGGATTCAGTAAGAGGCAGGCAGACAGTTTGTGGTGAAGAGTGCTGTTCAGTCGGGGGAATACTGAGCAACTCAAATCACATCTCTCTTGTGCCCTTTCAGAGTCTTCAAAAGAACCCAGTGTGAACCTCCCAAGCAAGCTGTTACACACCCCCTCTCTGGCCCTTTCATCCGCCCTTCCCCTTGCAGTGATTGTGTGGTGAAGACTGTCGTGCCATACGGAGCCTTTGTGGAGCTGAAACCAGGGAAAGAGGTAACAAGAGGGGGAGTCGAGGGGAGAAAAAGGAGGGAGGAGGGGCTTCGAGAGGGGGAGGAGAGTAGCGGTGAGAATGGTAACGGGGAGGTGAGGGGGAGGGGGGAATGGGGGGAGAGGGTGGGGGGAAGGGAGCTCTCTAACGTGCGACTCAACAAGTATAAGCACACGCCTCTGTCCCACGCTGTCTCCCGCTCTCCCTTTCCCCCTCTCCCGTCTTCCCCTTTCCAGGCCCTATTTCACGTCGATGAGATATCCACCGTGCCTTTCAGCATGAATTGATTCATCTCCGTACCTCCGATCCCTCTTTTTTTCTCCCATCCCTCCCGTTCCCCTCCCAGGCCCTCATCCACGTTAGTGAGCTCTCCACCGTGCGACTCAACAAGCCGGAAGATGTATGTCACCCTTACTAAGCATCCCCCTCACTATAAGCATCTCTTTCAATTTGCATAGTGTTTTGAATAATATTGGCCCTCCTCACCCTCCCACTTCCCCAACCTTCCACCTTTCCACCCTCCCACCTTCTTCCTGCCATTCATTTTGAATTTCCCTATAGACATGACACCAAAGGCCACCTTCCTCCTGCCCTTCCCACACTACCTTCCTCCCCTCCCATCTCCCTGTTCTTTTTGCATTCTCCCTGTCTCGTTTGCTCTTTCCCTGTAAATCACTCTTCGTCTCTCATGCCTTCGATTTGTATGTCTGGATTTCTGTTCTCCCCTTCCCCTCTGTCTTATCCCACCTTAGCTCTAATGTCTTTGCCGCCACAAAACTCCTCCCCTCTTCTCCCCTCTTCCCTTCCCCCCGTGCCGTCTCCTGCTGTACCAGTTTGTGGCAGTTGGGGATACCCTCGACGTCAAGATTCTTGAGGTGGGTTTGTGCCCCTTTTGATGCAGTCACCACCGTGTACAGTCTCATGTCCCTTCCAAACAGTATGCATGCACTCAGTGTGTAAACATGGGGAATGCACTGGGGGCGCATTGCTTTTCTTTTTTGGTGTCCTTTCCCCGATCCCTCTCCTGCCTGTCCTAATGTTGATTCAGTTGCAATAACGTCTACCCACATTTCCTTCCCTGCTTTTTGCCCTCCTCTACTCCTCCCCTTCCCATCCACCAATTCAGATCAATGCAAGAGGTCAGCTGCGATTAAGTCACAAGGCTGTGCTTCTAGAGGAGGGCAGGGAACCCGTACCCACTAGCAACGCATCCGCTACAAGCACGGCAACCCCTAATGGATCAACCGGGGAAAATAGAAATGCGATTGGAGCTGGGAAGGGTGGGTATGCCCCTCCTAAGTTTGTGAAGCCTAACGCCCCCACATCCCCATCGCCCTTGGTGCCCAAGCCAAGGGGTAGGTGAAAAACGTATAACTAGGACGAGGTAGAGGTAACATAGCCTTTATGCCCGTATTTTAGCACACATTCTGAATGTACTTACCAAGGAACGGGAAGCCCATGTGCACTCCATTATGTTTGGCTTGATTGCAAAGTGACAAGGCAGACAAACACGTATGAAGCTGGAAACTAGATGCCTACATCGGAGACCTCGTTTAGGCGTTTTTTAAATAGCCCAACTAATGTGATCCACAATGTTTCATGTGTGTTGTCACAAAAACGGGAACAGTTTCCTGATGGCGTACTGTAATCCCCCGCATAGTCAACCCCCCAAAATTGAACACCCATGGGTGTTCAATTACGGTGGGTGTACTTAAAAATGTTGGGCTGAGATAGCCCCTTAGGATCTTTTCAAGGGAGAACTCTGGGTGGGATAGTGTTGTAATAGCGGAAGCGTTTAACAAAGTTTGTGAACCACCTTGCGCTGGTATATGAGGGCAAAGTAGATTGATTATAGCAAGGAAGTACAAGATTATATAATAATACAAGGAATATGAAAGGATGCAGTTTGTAACTACTTTATTGTTGCTGTTGCGGTTCGATACAGTACGACTCGGGCAACTGCTCTGTAACGAGTCAGTTGTGTGTCCTTAACTGTCGCGCTGTATTTGTCAGGTCAAAGGTCGCTTGACCTTTGACTTTCGCGTAACCTCCGGCAACTTCTCAACCTCCGAAGGTTGACTCGCGTTTGTTTCGATACAGCTTGCTTCGCTTCTGGTGCGATGTTTCGACACGACTGAAGCGCTTAAGATTCACTATTTCCAACACTCCCCTTCGCTTCTGGAGTGTCGTTGCTGATGACGTGGCTCTGTCCAGTCAGCAGCATGCAGTACTCGAATTTCTGCTTTCCGAGTTTCTTGGTCAAATAATCGGCTGCCATCTCGGACGTGGGACAGTATGACAGCTGAAGTCTCCCCTTCTCGATCTCGTCCTTCACGAAGAAGTAGCGCAGGGCGATGTGTTTCGTCCTGTTCGCGAAGCCGTTCTTGTTGGCGATGCGAATTGCAGACTGGTTGTCGCAGAACAGGGTGAAGTTGGGTAACTCAGCTAACTTTGCTTCTTCCAGCAGCTCGCGGAGATAAAGGCCTTCCTTGGTGGCTGAGCAGAGTGCGATATATTCTGCCTCAGCTGATGATAGCGCGATTAACTCCTGCTTGCTCGACTGCCAGGAAATAGGTCCGATAGGTTCGAGGCGGTAGGCGTAGCCGGTACGTGAGCGCCTGTTGTCGGAGTCGCCGGCGTGATCGGCGTCGACATAGCCGATTAGCTTAGTTGGTGTAGCTGCGTTCTTGTGGTAGGTTAGGCCGATCGTCGCGGTGCTGATGAAGTAGTGAAGAGCGCGGTCAAGTTCCGCCAGATGTTCTGTTTCAGGCTTCTTGAGGTAGGTGGCGAGTTGACTTGCGGAGTATGAGAGGTCGGGACGGCATGTGACGGCTGCGAAGAGGAGGCATCCGAGCTTCCTCTGATAGTCGCGTATGCCGGCTGGTTTGAGTAGAGTGGATCGTCCCTTCTCGGTTCCTGTCGTGTAGCGGTATGGCGTGGAGATGGCGGTTGGTGTGAGAGCGAAGCGTTTAGCGATAGTGTCGGCGTATTTCTCGGCGCTGAGATAGATCGCATCTTCTTCTTCTCGGATGTTGAGGCCGAGGTACTGTGTGACGGTAGACGAGACCGTAAGTGTGAGGTCTTTCTGCAGCTCCCCTTCGAACCAGGTTGCGATGCTGTCGGTTGACCCGATGTAGAGGAGATCGTCCACGTAGACGATTAACAGGACGTAGTCGTTGTTCTTAGTGAGTCGATACATGCCTTGGTCGTGCGGGAGTTGCTTGAAGCCGATGCGGATGAGACGAGCGTGCAGGTATTGCTGCCATAGTCGCGGGGCCTGTTTGATTCCGTAAAGCGACTTGAGCAGCTGGCAGACATGCGTGGAATCTGTGTTGGAGCCGTGCGGCAGCTCCACAAAAATTTCTGCGTCAACAGGTGCGTAGAGAAAGGCGTTTGCGACGTCGATTTGTCGTAGCTTTTTCTTCTTCATGGCGGCGATTGCGAGGAGAATGCGTAGTGAGGTGTGTCGGCTGACCGGAGCAAAGGTTTCGGTGAAGTCGCGTCCGTGCTCTTGGTCGAAGCCGCGTACGACCCAGCGCGCCTTGAATTTGTCGATGGTGCCATCTGCTTTCGTCTTCACGCGGAAGACCCATTTTCCGGTGAGGATGGTTTTGTTTTGTGCTACACCGATAGGAACGATTTTCCAGGTGTTGCGTTCTTCTAGCGCTTTCAGCTCCTTGTCCATGGCTTCGCGCCATTTTTCCCTGTGTTCCCCCCCCAGAGCCTGCTGAACCGTTGCAGGCTCCTTAGGAATGGCGGCGCCGTGGACCGCGGTGACGAGCCCGAGTATCTGGAGTCCACTCTGTGTGTAGCGGGGGAGTGTGGTGTCCTCGGGATAGACTGCCTCGTCTCCAGCTTCTGGATCAGGTGCGAAGTTGGGCCCTATGCGTTCTGCTTCGTTGGTGTTGACTTCAGCAGGTGTTACGTAACCGTTGTCGGCGAAGTGGTAGTAGGTTTCGGCGTTGACGCTTTCGCGAGGGTTATCTTCGTCCATCGGTACGTCCACTGAGCAGTAGGGGAGAGGTCCGGCTTCTTCCGAGGCTCCTTCCACGTTCTGCTCGTCCCAGTCAGCTTCGTCTCCTGCCGAAGCGAAGGCTCGATCGCCACGGAAGCCACCTGTGGGGTCTCGATTTTCGTCCAGGTTGGCAAGGTATGTTGGCAGTGTGAGCCGCTCGTAGAAAATGACATCACGTGCTGCTACTGTTTCCTTGGTGTGGATGTCGAAGATTTTCCACGCGTTGTAATGTTTTTCGATGCCCAGGTGTAGTCCCCACTGTGCCCGTTGGGAGAATCGGCCGGCTCGTGCAGATGGGGGTCGGTACTGTACCATGCAGCCGAAGACTCGTAACATTTTTGTGCTGCCCAGTTTCCCTGTCCACAGCAGATGCGGTGATGTGTTGTTCGGGAGTGACGACGAAGAAAGCAAGTTGTGCAGCATCACGGCGTGGTCCATTGCCTCGGGCCACTGGTGGTTGGGTAGCCGCATGCCACGTAACAGTTTGCGCATGGTGTTCTGCAAAGTCCTGTTCATCCTTTCTGCTACACCCTGCTGTTGATGGGCGTAGGGAAGGGAGATGAGTCTCTTGATTCCTTTCTCCGCCAGATACTGCTTGAACCGCTGTGACGAGTATTCTCCTCCTCCGTCTGATTGGAAATTTTTGAGCTTAGCTCCCGATTCCCGTTCTGCTGCTGGAAGCCATGCCACGAAAGCCTCGAAAGCCATGTCGCGACTTGGTAAGTTTAGGTGCCAGACGTAACGTGTAGCGGCGTCGATGAAGGTGATGGTGTAGTTATACGCGTTTTGTCCGGGTTCGCGGTTGTACAAGATGTCGCTGTACACTTTCTCGAGTGGTGCATATGCAGGTGCGCTTGGGTTGTGATGCGAAACGAAGGGCTGATGCGGTAAGTCAGCTTCGGGGCAGGTGAAGCACGTTCCTCGAGCTCGCTGAAGTTCTCTGCCGTCGGTCAGTAAGAGTGAATCCTTGTCAAGTACTCCAGCTCTTATCGTGTTGTTTAATACTGTGTTGCTTGGGTGTCCCATTCTTGCGTGCCAGGTTTCTTCGTTGGCGCGGTGTCCTGGCGAGCGTCGGTACATGTCGGAGTTGGAGTAGAAGCCGGCGATGATGTTCGCGCTTCTGTGAACTTCCCGTGGTGCCGGGTTGAGCTGCTGCGCCGGTGTCGGCGGCGTCTCGTTGATGAAGGGCTGTGCCGTTGAGGGACCGGTGACTGGTGTTAATGTTTCTGCTGCTGCTGCTGTTGTCGGTGCTGCTGTCGATGTTGTTTCTGCTGCTGCCGATGTTGTCTCTGCTGCTGCCGACTGCTGAATTGTCGCTAACGCCCTTGTTCTCTCTGTTTCAGAAATGGTGTGCGAGTACCAGAAACCGCTCGGACTGAAGTCTGGATCAAGATCTGGAGGATGTGTCCAGTTGGTGAAGTTTACGATGGCGTCGCTGTCGGCCGTGCCAAGATCGGGAACGAAGTCGAGAACGAAGACGTTGTTCTTGAGGACCGCCTTCCCGATGTAGAGACCTCCCCTTCCGTGGTACAGCTTGAACTCTTGAGTTGTGCTGTCTGCTTCAAGATGAATGCCTTTCGCCATCAACTGACTGACGCTCAGTAAGTTGTAGCCCAAGCTCTCTACGATTAGGACCTTGGACATCTGCAGAATAACATTTGTCTCTCGTGACTGAAGTTGAACAACTCCTTGTCGTCGTGTGCGCAGGTTCTGATTGTTGGCGACGGTGATGACAACTTCCCGTTGAAGCTGGTACTCTCGCTGCACGAAGCGTCCTGAAGAACACATGTGTTGCCCGCAGCAACTGTCTAAGAACCACGTGTCCTTTCCGGATGGCTCGTTTTGGGCGATGGCTGCGTAGGTTGGATTCGGTTGAAGTGCTTCGCGGCGAGGTGTCGTTTCATCGAGCTGTTCTTCTGGTGAGTAGTATGGTGGTGATTCCGTGACGCAAGAGTCACTCAGTCTTGCCATGCAGCTAACGATATTTCTTGTTTCTTGTGCAGGTTGTCCCGTTGAGGTCGTTGAAGCTTGAATTTGAGTCGTCGGGTTCGCCTGTGTTGACGCAACTTGATTGCTTGAAGGCCGTAGATGCCGCTGCGGAGTTGTTGACTGTTGACGGTTTGGGCAATGTGTGCGCGGGTGCCCTGAAGTCTTGCAGATGTGGCAGAAAGGAGGTACTGGCTTCGGTTGTTGCTGTCGATTGTTGTAGTTGTTGTGACGTCGTTGAGTGTGAAACGCGAACTCTGATGTTGTCGTCTTCTTTCTGTGTCGTTCTTCTTGCAGGTCCATGTCCTGCTGCTCGGCGTGGATTTCGGCGCAGAGTGCTGCTTCAGAAATTCTGCCGTGGG